CCTTCTTAAGGGTCCCTTGTTCAAGATCCCCTATTCAGGATTCCATATTAAGGTTTCCGTTTTAAGGATCCGCCCTCCGCATCATCATTATCGTCATCGTCATCGCCGTCATCATCATCGTCATCTTCGTCTGGATCGCACTCGTCTTATGTAGCTCCTCTCTCTTCTTACTCATATTGTATAGTTATTCCTTCTCCTCCTCCCCCTCCTCCTCCTCGCCATCCCCCTCCTCAGGCTAGAGAAGGACTGAGTCCCAGCACGAGAGAACACATCGATGACAAGGCAAACTGTATGATCACAAGGGGGAAACACATTATATATACATACATATATATGTATACATAAAAATACATACATACAAGATTGCATGTGGCGCTTCGCGCCATGCACCTTGGTCTTAAGGCTTTGCATATGTTGGTGGTTCGCGCCATCCCTAGTGGCCTTGGACAGTTGGCCCCTTTCCTGCGGTGGTTTTAAAAAGTCTTCGAAAGTTCGGGCGGTCCCTGGCCCTTCCCGGGCCTCTGGGGGCTCCCGAAAGGCGCCAGGTGGAGGCCGAATGATAGGAGGGAGGGAATCTTGGAGAGCGAGGGAAGCGGATGTGGGGGAGGACAAGTGGTGAAGCGGCAGAAAGAGGAGGAGGAGGAGGGCGCCGTCGGGGGACGGCGAAGAATGTTGCAGCGGTTTGCAGCGGGTCGCAACACGCGAACGCAAGTAATTCTTAGGGAATGCACCCAATCCTGGGTTCGCAACAGATTTGCGGGATTTGTGGTTGCGAGCCCGGGATTCGGGTCAGTTTGGTGGACGCCTTGTGGTGCTTGTTGGAGCCCTGGTGTGCCGGCCAGCTTGGGGCCGTCTCGAGCCGTCTTGGGGCCATCTTGGGCCGTGTTGAAGAGCTTGGGCCCTCTAGGAACTTGTTGGCTTCCCATGGCCTTTCGGGGGGCCTCCCAAGTCTTTTCGGGCTTCTTTTGGAGGCCTTGTGAAGGCCTGTTGGGCTTCTTTTTGGCTCAACTGGGGTTTCCTTGGGCAGTCTTGGGGCCATCCAGGCCGTCTTCTTGCTTTCTTGGGGGTCTCTTGGGCCGTCTTGGGGCGATACTGGAGGCCTCCGTAGCTGTTTTGGACGCTGCTGAGACCCGAACAACGAATGTGCTGAAAATGCTCGCTTCCCGAAGGGAGTGAAGCGATGTTTGCGTTCTGGGAGTCCTGTTGAGGGCCTCCTGGGCAGTCTTGGAGGCCTGTGAAGGCTCTCTGGGTCCTTCTTGGAGCGCTCTCGTGCTGTCTTGGGTCTTTCTTCGGCCTCTCTGATCACCGCTTTGATCGCTTCGGGGCCTTGTAAGGGCCTGTTGGGCCTCCTTGGGGCTCAGTTGGGATTTCTTAGGGCAGTCTTTGGGCCATCCAGGCCGTCTTCTTGCTCTCTTGGGGGGCTCTTGGGCCGTCTTTGGGCGAAACAGGAGGCCTTCTTGGCAGTTTTGGACGCTGCTAAGACCCCAACAGCGAATGTGCTGAACATGCAGGATGTCCTAAGGAAAAACATGGATTTGCTTGCATTCTGGGCGTCCTGTTGAGGGCCTCCTGGGCCGTCCTGGGGGCCTCTGGAGGCCATCTGGGTCCTTCTTGGAGCGCTCTTGTGCTGTCTTGGGTCTTTCTTCGGCCTCTCAGATTACCGCTCTTATCGCTTCGGAGCCTGCTGGCAGGACCCGGCGAAGCGCCCTGGGAGGTTCGGGGCGAGCTGGGGAACTTTTGGCAAGGATGTACGGGGGGCCAGAAACATCCTGGGGGTCTTGTTTGGCGGGGGCAGGGAAGGGGTTTTACCCCCCCGGGCTTATAAACATACAAGAAGAGGAACTTGCATATGTAAATGTAGGGATAGATCGCTATATAATGTCTGTGATGGGTAGATCGTGAGATCGACCGATATATTGATAGTACAGCCAGAACGTTGTTAGTGACATCGATCGGTAGCTTTGTCTTTGCCGTGGTCGTCCCGATGATCCCGTGATTGTCCCGCGGGTTTCCCATGGTTCATCTGGGGTTATCGTGTGGTTATCCCGCGGATGTTCCGCGCTTGCTCCGTGGTTGTCTTGTGGTTGTCCCGTGCTTGTCCCGATGTTTTTTTTCCGCGAGTGTCCCGTGGTTGTCCCGCCAGCGGTGAGAATTTTGAGATCGACTGGTGGACAGTGAGTGAGATCGGCAGAGGTATGCTCAGGCCGATAGTGAGACCACTAGCTAGATATTGACCGCGAGTGATATCGACCGATAGTGCGTGAGACGGGTTGATCGTTTGTGCCGCAGTTGGCTCGCGATTGCCCCGAGGTTAGCCCGTGGTTGTCCCGTGGTTTTCCCTTGGTTGTCCCGTGGCTGCCCCGTAGTTGTCCCGTTGATGAATCGTGGTCATCTTGTGGTTGTCCCGTGTTTGTTCCGTGGTTGTCCCGTGTGCCCCTGGCTTGTTTGTGTTGTTTGTGATTGGTTGTGGTGGTCCCATGGGTGGTTGTAGTTGTTCCGTGGTTGTCCGTGGTTGCTTTGCTGTTTTACCGTGGTTGTCTCGCCTATACGCACTGTACTGAGGGACCGACAGACAGAACTTGACATGCACACATACTTGCATATATATATATATATAGATACACACGGACTATGCAACGATGCACACATATCTACATATAGATATAGATTTGCTGTTATATACGCATGTGGGTCATATTGGGATGTTGATACTGGTGGCGATGGATTAACAGTGAGTGCGAAGCTGGTCCGACGCCAATGGCAAACCGAAAATTGTATCCATCTTCCTCTCAAGCATAATATTAACCCAAGAGGTGGTCTGATAGGCATGCTAGGGAGGGGACGCGGAGGCGGAAGATGACGAGGAGGACCCTATTTAACCTTCTGGGCAGCGCCGTCGGGCCCGTTTGCCTGGTGTCGCGACAACACGCGGTACACCCAAGAGAATCAGTGAGCGTGGTATCGGGCCCCTGAATCGTGAATATTCAGGACTGAGAGCGGAGGGCGCAAGTGACTTGAGGATGCTCTAACTCGTGCCTCAAGGCACGGTGGCAGCCATGGAGGAGCGAGGGAGGTGGAGGTTGAGGTGGGTGGGGGGGCGAGAAGGCCGGGGAAGAGGAAGGAGGCGGGAGGAGGAGGTGGAGGAGGAGGAGGAGGGTCATGAGGCGGAGGTGGATGAGACGGAGGAGGAGCAGGATGGCGCCGCACCTGCGGGACAAAGTGCGCTCAATTCCGAGGCCTTGAATGGGGAGCATGGGCGTGAAAGGAAAGGGGGAGGAAGAGCAGCAGCGGGGGGGAGGGGGGAGGAGGAGGCGGAGCAGGAGGCCTCTTGGCGCCACCTCAAAATTTCCTAGTGGCCTCGAAGGGGGCCTCGAAGGGCCTCTCGGGGACAAGTGCGGGGCCTATGAAGTGACTGCTTGGTCGTCGGAGGCCTCCTGCGGGCGGTCTTGGGGGTCGCTGGGGCAGTCTCTGTGGCCGCCTCGGGATGGAGTAGGGGAGGACGAGCATCAGCACCCCGCGCACGGGGTGGGGAAGGGAAGAGGAGGATGGAGGAGGGGAGGAGGAGGAGGGGAGGGGAGGAGGGGGAGGAGGAGGAGAGGAGGAGGGAGGAGGAGGAGGAGGAGGAGAGGAGGAAGAGGAGAGGAGGAGGAGGAGGATGATGAGGAGGAGGAGGAGGGGAAGGAGGATGAGGAGGATTAGGAAGAGGAGGAGGAGGAGGAAAGGGTGGAGGAGGAGGAGGAAGAGGAGGAGGAGGAGGAAGATAGGAGTGGTGGGTGGCAGTTGACGCCTCTGATTGAAGGTGGTGGCACATGTGTGCCTTGAGGTGGAGGTGCGGGTCACCCCCCGCTGCGGCCGTCTTCATTGGCCGAGGGACCGTAGGGGGGTCCTCGGCCCCCTCCAGTGCTTATCGACGGCAAAATGGAAGGTTGACTGGTGGGAGCGGGAGCCCCGCAGCCCCAATGATCGAAGCTGCGAGGGGTGTGAGGCCGAATGACGGCCCTCACCGAGGAGGCCTATTGACGGTCCTCGCCGAGGGGGGGTGGGCGAGAGGGAGGGGGCCATCCCGAGTGACGATGCCGTCCGCGATGGCTCCCGCTCCTGAGGCGGGATCCCTGCAAATGGGGGGCCCAAATCAGCATGCACAGTTTCGACTCCGAGACTGAACATACTCCGCGAGAGCCTTATCCCATGTTGTGGGATAGATGGTGGGGATAGGGGGGGGACACAAAACAAGCCAAAGGACGCCCCTGGCGCTTTACTTCCAGGGCCGTCCGCGGGCTCGCCACCGCCAACCGCCAGGTGTTTGCGCCAACCATGGTTGCCGCTGATCAGGAGTGGGAGGATTTGGAGGAGGAGGAGGAGGGAAAGGAGGAGGAGGAGGAAGAGGAGGAGGAGGAGGAGGAGGAGGAGGAGGAGGAGGAGGACGAGGAGGAGAAGGAGGAGGAGGGGAGGAGGAGGAGGGGGAGCAGGGGGAGCAAGGGGATTTGCCAGGAATTGCGCGCACGCACCCCGCACCCTCTTTAGAACTGCGGGGGTCGTGCTGCTCATGCTCTCGCGGCGGGAGGCGGACGGGGGCGCGGGAGGAAAGGAGGAGGAGTAGGTGTTCAAGAATTGGGAGGGAAATGTTTGTTGATGATGATGCTGATGATGATGATGCTGATGATGGTGATGTTGATGATGATGATGATGCTGATAATGCTGATGATGATGCTGATGATGCTGATGATGATGATGATGATGATGATGATCCTGATGATGATGATGCTGATGATGATGATGATGATGATGATGCTGATGCTGATGCTGATGCTGATGCTGATGATGATGATGAGGAGGAGGATGAGGAGGAGGAGGACGACGACGACGACTGCGGCGTCGGGTGCGGCGGCTGCGGCGGGGAGGTGGAGGCGCAAGAGAGGAGGTAGGAAAACACCGCCGTTTCAAAATGCAGCTAACGCTTGCGTATTTGCGATTGCGCGCGCGGGCGCCCCCGCCGCCAGGTGGTGAAGGCGATCCTCGACAAGTTCTCGCCGTGGCTGGAGGACCAGTCGCGTCGCCCGCCCCTCCACCCTGCCCGCGAAGTGGCTCCACCCTTCACGGAGCATCCCCCCAGTAAGAAAAACACGCTTAATAATAGTTAAGTCTGCACGGCAAGTCCCAGCGACGCCAAGCAAAGCAAAGAAACCTTGAGCAATGCCCGGACAATGCCAGACAACGCGAAGCAACGCCAACCAACGCAGCGCCATGCCAAGCAATGCAACCGCAATGCCAAGCAGTGCCACTTAGGAAGCTTCTTCCTGATTGGTGTCGCGCCAGGTTCATCTTCTTTTTGTTCGGGGGGTGGGGTGGGGAATCGGGGAGCGGCACGGGAAGGGGAAGGGCTAGCATTGCATGGTGCCGCGCAGAGGAAGGGGAGGAGGAGGAGGAGGAGGAGGAGGAGGAGGAGGAGGAATAAAACAAGCCGTGGGAGGAGGAAGAGGAGGAGGAGGAGGAGATGGAGGAGGAGGAGGAGGAGGAGGAGGAGGAGGAGGAGGAGGTGGAGTAGGGGAAGGAGGAGGAGAAGGAGGAGGAGGAGAGGGAGGGAAGCTGGGGGAGGTGTAGGAAAACAAGCAACTGGAGAAGGCAAGACTGTACGGACACGGCACAACCCTGAGACAGCACAGCGGGAAGGACGAGGTGCACCCCAGCCTCGACGAAATTCCACGCGGGGAGGGGCGGCCCCGCCAACCACGCCAGCGCGAAGAGCACCAGCTTGCGGTCGGAGGCCACGAGGGACGGAGCGGTGATCGGGATGCCGGCAGGCCCGCCAAGGGAGACACGGGACGGTGGTACGACGCAGCCAGCTGAAGGAGGCGGTGTGATCCACAAATGGTCTCGAGGAGCAGGCCGTATCTCACGGTGAGGCCTCCATCTGGGGCCCAAGCAGCAGGAGCAGGTGGACATAGAGCACGCACTGTATCGAGCGGCCCTCATGTTCGGCTGCACGGCCCAGTGCACGCGAGCACCAGCAATCATCGAGCACCTGGCAGCGACGTGGCGGACACCGACGGCCGCGTCACCGTGGAGAGAACCAGGGACACGTGCACTTAAGGTGAGGCCCAACCGCGCAGGCAATTAGTCCGACCAATGATTGCTGGGGCGAGGGGCAAGACGCCCGCGACTATCGCGACCATGAGTTGCCTGGAGCTGCAGCGGATCTTAGAGCAGCAACCCAAACATATGCAGATACGACAACGCAAGCGTGCACGCCGTGCCACTTGACAGGGACAGCGACAACGTATGTAACACCGAGCCTATCAAAGAGAACCGCGCCCAGACGTGCATGCGCTTTGCGACAGTTGTCCGCTACCGTTGGCACCGCGAGCCAAGCATCGTGGGCGCTCCGCTGCACTCACTCCCGTGCAGCATGACGGGGCTGCGATCAAGGGATCGATGAGCAAGAATATCAGACCATCGGGGAGGGCTACATGCACCTCAACCAGAGACACAGACGTGCCTGACCGCGGCGCCGGGCGGGTCACCCCCTCGCATGATCGCCCCCTCCAGGGAGCACTGCATGAAGGGCCGTCCATGGTGCGCAGCGAGACTGTGGCTTCATGACGCTGCCCTCCCTCCCTCCCTCCCCCTCCTTCCCTTCCTTCTACGCCCCTTCCTCCTCCTGCTCCTGTTCCCTCGCTCCATCCTCCCTCCTCCCCCCCACTCAGGACTACCGATCACTTTGCGCGAGACGGGACCCAGCTTCAGGAGCAACCCAAGGCACTGCGGAGCTGGTACGATGTTGCGAGTAGGGGTATTGCCCGGGTGGGGTAGTGTCTTCCTAATGTTTGGGTTGGTGTGGCGGGGCGGGTTGAAGGACGTCGAGCGTTGCAAGGCCAAGGCCAAGCCTAACCCAGCCAGTCAGGACCCCCCCCCCGCTCCGCTCGAATTAGTTGCGAACCCTAGGTCGTATGATCTGTCGGGAAGGTGAGGCGTTTTGCTGTGAAGTGTGTGCGGGGGCGAGCGAAGTCCAGCGAGGCGAACCAGGAGTTCCCAGGGTCGCAGCCACGGCGCACCCCTCCCGCGTGCTCCGGCTGGGCTCTGGGGCCTCTGGCCGGGTGCTGCCCGAAGGGGCCCCCCCAGCTTCTCGCTCTCCATTTTCGGGAGCCCCCTGGGGGCTCTCTGGGGCCTCGCGAGGGGTGCCCCGGGGGGGCCGTCTGGGCCACCCCGAGAACCCGGGGGGGGGGGGCCTCGGGTCAGGGGTACTTCCTGGCCTTGGGAGCCAAGCAACAAAAAAATAGCAGAGACCTCGGTCTGGGTCGGGGCCGTGGTGCTTCCGGCACGCGCCAGGGGCGTTCGGGGGAAAAAAAATATGGAGAGAGCACCGCCCAGGGAAATGGCTCCTTTTGACTCTCCATCGGCCAGGGGCGTTGCTCGGGCGGGGGTGTCGGGCGTTGGCGGTGAACTCGTCTCTTGAGGGAGCCGTGCCCTGGCCGCCCTCGCAACGATACGGCCGACAAGTCGCGCCTCGCGGGCAGAGGTCCCAGATCGAGAGTCGTTCTCGGGCGTCGCACTCGAGTGCGAATCAGGACTTGGTGCTGTCCTCGGGGTTTCTTTGCGCACCCATCTGCCCCTCCCCCACTGGGCCCGTGCATTGGAGTGGGCGCCAACGGGGGGGTTACGCGAGCAACTTATGTGGCGCTTGCAGCGTCTTGTGAAGGTTCGAGCCTCTCCCTCTCTCTTTTGTGCTCGGCCATGTGCCTCTATGATGCGGAAGACTGTACTCAACAGGAGGGAGAGGAGGAGACTCGGAGAAGGAGGAGGAGGAGGAGGGAGAGCAGGGGCAGCTGGAGGAGGAGGAAGACGAGCATGAACAGGGGCAGGAGGCGGGGCAGGACAAGGAGGAGGAGGAGGAGGATATGGAGCAGGAGCAGGAGGATAACGAGGAGGAGGGGGATGAAGGGAGGAAGGGAAGAAGGAGTCGAGTAGGGAGGAGGGAGGGCTGGAGGAAGGGAGGAGCAGGGATTCGGGAGGGATGCGCGCGGGGGGAGGAGAGGCCAGGTTCCGCGGTGAGCAGGTGCCAGGGCGACATCGGGGGTTCGCTGATGGGGGGGGCGTCCCCGTCCCCCTCTCCTTCCCCCTTCTCGGTCCCCTCCTTTAACCTTCGCATCCACGGGCTTGCTTCGTCAGGCGGCTGCTTGTTGACCTTGTCTACCATGTTTTTGGGCGTCTGGAGGCCCAGAAGGAGAGGCCAGCAAGAAACATCCCAGGATGACGAAGTGGCCCCTGATGGAGTCGAGCGTCCAAGCCCACGTTACGAACAACTTCCTCCACCGCTCCTGCCTCCTCCTCGTCCCGCTCCTGCTCCTCCTTATTTCGTATCCGTTTTGGTTCGAGGCTAAATCCGCGTACCTGGCTGCGTATGTGCAGTTGGGGTTGGCAGTTGCTTTTCGGCGCAGGTCACGATGGTCAGTTGCATGCTGGCTCTGTGTTTCCTCCTTGCAAGGTGTTTCGCTCAGACACCTGCTTCAAAGAACGACACCTGTCCGCTGCCGTATCCGAGCTTGCCAGAATTGGCAGATTGGACGTTGGCTGACCCTGCATTTGTACGTACGTGGCCGCAGAACATGGAAGGCACATGGTACGTGGTTGCAGTTGCAGACCGGTTTCAGAATGCCACAGCATTCGCATGCACTCGGTACAACTACTCAGTGGGTGTGCATGGGAATGCGCAGCACTTGGAGGCCACCTGGCTGTCATACAACAAAGCAGAGCTGTCGTGGAGAACCGTTGATCTGTTCGGCGTCGCGGCGAATCTCAGCGAGCCGGGAGACTACTGGGAGTGGCCGTCCTCTGCGGTCCCGCACGGCACGGATCTTCGCGCTTGGGGTTGGTATGATCCGGTTGTGCATTTCGGTCCAGATTTCACCGACCATTCCAACACGCTCGCAGTCAAATGGGGGTGTACGAAGCTTCCTCTTGGCAATTTCCAGTACACCGAAGTCCTCTCTCGAAAGGCGAATGTTGAGTGGATCGCAGTCCAAAGTGCAACAGGCCACATGAAGGACGACGATGTTCCTAACATTGGGAACTTGGAGCCCGTTTCTCATGCGCGCTGCGACTATCCCTGGCAGTCTGCCTCGGACACGAGCTCTCAAGTAGTGTCTGTATGAAGTTCTGCTTTTTTCCAAGCTGGTGGACGGCGTGAACCCATCGTCATATTCCAGGGGTTGTTCTCGAAGCTGATGCTCTGATTACCGTGATGTCCTCCGCGCTCCGCGGTGCAAGGAGATCTACGCAGAGCGTGGATGACCGCGAGTCGTCGATGCGTCTGGTCACGACGCCGCTCACCGTCCATACAATGGAAACCCTCACCAAGAAACGCCCTGCTTGCCTCCAGAGTGCCCAAGGTTTCTTGGGTTTCGATGGTTTTGCGATTGAAAGCGTGACTTTCCCACACCGGAAGTCAATGGACGTCCTGGGGTCTCAGGGTCGAGTTTCTTGTGGAAGGTTTCTTGTGGTCGAGCTCCTACGGTGCAGTTTGCCCTACAATGCGCAAGATGGGGCCCTCTCGCTGGGGTGACCGCTTTCAGTGTTGTGGATGCCATGACAATGGACACTAACAATCCCAAATGGCAATGACAATTAAAAGTGTGTGTAAAATGTGTAAAACATTAAGTCCGACTCGGCTGCCGATTTCCACCGATCCGACGCATGTCGATCGCCGATCCGGTTTATCGATTCGATGTTGGGCTCTCCTGGGCACGTTGGCCCGATCCGCACTTTGCTTCAGAAGTCGGTTTCTGGGGATTCCCAGACTTCAATCTGCTTCAGGCGCCTTCCTACTACGAGGTATCGAGTGGTTTTCCTTTTGCCTTCGTCTTCAAGGGGCGGGCGGAAGCCCAATCTGCTTCCAACGCCTTCCCACTTTATGGTTTTACCTCCTTCTTCCGAACGTCGTGTGCTTCGCTTCAGAAGGTCCCGGAAATTCTTGGCCAGGCGTCAGGGAGCCAGGCGTCGGGGTCGGCGAGCCATGCGTTCCGAAGCGGGTCGTCCTCGACCTCCTCCTCCTCCTCCTCCTCCCTCCTTTGCGTTGCATTGTTGGGGGCCCCTGTCTGTCCTGTGGGTGGCGCTATTGTCTTGCCCAGAGACCCTGGCGTTGTAGTTGGTTCACAGCTGGCAGTTGCGCTGGGCCCTGGGACCCTGACAGATCGATCCCGCTCGACAAGCGACGCAGCGAGACGGGGTGTGGGGCTCTGGGCTCTCGCAGGTCGATCCCGCTTGAACAGTGACGCAGCAAGACGGGGTGCGGGGCTCTGGTCGTGATGCTCTGTGCTGTTGCCATTGTTTTGTGAGGTTGCATCTCGGGATGTATCCGACGCGGTTTGGACGTGGATTCGACCCAGAGTCGACGTCTATTCGGGGGCTCGGGCGTCGAGCACTGGGGGGGGGGGGGGGCGAAAGCAAGGGGGGTGAGGAAAGGTGCCCCTTTTGTGCCCTGATGGGGGCCCTAAACAGGCGCCCTGGGATCCAAAGGTCGAGTGCTGAGAGGAGCCTGCGTCTTTGCAGCCGGACCGAAGTATGAGATCCAGATCGCTTCGGAGAGGGTGCCCTAAATGTTCTTCGTGTCTGTTGGGCCTCCTCGTGCATCCTGGGGAGGGTGCCCTTGGATGGCCTGTGTCTTTTGGCTGGCGGAGGGTCTCGTGTCCTCGAAGGATGCTCTTCTGCCAAAGGTCCGACTGTGCTTTTTCTCCGGACGTGGCACGTCTGGGCTGCGCCAGGGGCACGTCCAGCAGCACCCGAGCCGCGGGCCCGCGGGCGCGCGCGCAAGGACCGCTTCGAGGTCTTCCGCCAGGCCGTGGTCAGGGGGCTGCCGACCAAGGACGACCGCTGGGGGGGGGATGGGGGGGGGGGAGGGGAGATCGGGACGAAGAGTGGGGACGAAGACCGACAGCATCGAAGACTGGAGGGGAATGGGGGGGAATGGGGGGGGGAAGGCCGCGAATGGAGGGGGAAGACCGAGAATGGGGACGAAGAATGGGGTGGACTGGGGGGAGGAGATCGGGACGATCGAACTCGTCACGGAAAGAATGGGGACGAAGTCCGACAGCATGTGTGGCCGCGCCGTTTGTTCCGACCCGCGGCCTTGCGTCTTGGGGGGGGCGCCGCGAGGTCCCGCCCCAGCAGCCCTCGAAAGCGGCGGCAGTTTCACACGTCGCAGCTCCCCAGGGATGGCGAGGTCCTGTTTAGGTCTGCGTGTGGCCCCACTGTGCGGGCTCCCCCAGCAGCCCTCGAGAGTGACGACAATTTCACACTTCGCGGCCCCCAGGAGGGATGCGAGAGGAGAGAACAGAGAGGACAGCGGGGAGGGGGGCGAGGAGGAGGAGGTGGAGACCCCACTGCTCTATTCAAAAGCAGAACCCAACCAAGGGAGGGATGGGGAACAAATCAAGTAAAAGAGAGAGGGAGAGACAGAGAGAGATCATACAATATATATATATATATATATATATATATATATATATCGATGTATATATTTGGACATAGGTTTGGGTTAGGCATCAGGGCCACAGGTTTGTATAGGTGTATATGTGTATATGCACATCTGTGTAAGCATGCCCGTTCATATGTATGGACATACATATCTGCGCGTGTGCATCCATGTAGAGAGGGAGAACCGATACGCCGAATACATCGATCTATACACGGCGAGAGACTACAGCGAGCAGCGCGAGTAGGGAGCAGTGCCAGTGGAGAGAGGAATTATAACACAGACCAATCTACAGATGGAGAGAGGGAGAGATTTTGAGAGAAAGAGAGAGAGAGAGAGAGGAATTGAGGGAGATTGAGACATTGTGGATCGGGCGCGCCCCGCAACACGAGCGTATATATTACAGTAACATAATGGAATGCGGTCGTATGTTATATGTTGATACATTCACTTGTTATAGATCGTGAGCCGAGCATGGGGAAGAGAGAGGAACATATACCAACGCTTTAACATTTATCACACACTATGACATAGAGAATAGAGTGACCCAAAGATGAATCGATATCCCGGTGCACCTATATATATATATATATAAATATACACCCATTTTCACCGATGTAGGTGTGTCTGCATGTACGTGTATGTAGAAGAGGGAGAGAGAGAGAGAGAGACAGAGAAAGAGAGAGAGAGAGAGCGAGATATCAGCATAAGGAGAGACTAACTAACCTGTACATGTATACATATATATATATAGATATAGAGAAAGAGAGACCAAACAAACGAAAGAGACAGCGAGGGGAATTATACAGAGAGAGAGAGAGAGAACACCACATAACAACACACAAAAAAGGAGGTCATGCAGCCAGCGCGCCGTTTGGATAAATACGTCAACACGATCCAAACCTCAACTTTCATGCGGGCTGGCGCCCCTCCTTCACCTTGTTCTCCTTGCCCTCCTCCTCCTCTTCCTCCTCCTCCTCCATTCCTTTTCCTTATGAATATTTTCTCCCTGTCGCACCCCCAAGGCAAGTTTTCAGGGCGGGCCGGGCGGGCCGCCTGAGACTTTCTCATCAGATATGACCCTGAAACTTATACAGTAGCAACAGTTTCACAGATGGAGGGCGGGTCGTTTTCAAAATGTGGCTCCCGCGCTAGCGCCGCGCACATTATTTCAACAAATTGCAAGAGCTTCATTGATTGAGGAAGACCCGTTTTCAACATGCGGCTCTGGCGTTAGCGCCGCGCACATTCGTTTCAAACATTTGCAAGAGCTTCACGGATTGAGTAAAACCCGTTTAAAACATGTGGTTTTCGCCCAGCGCCGCGCACATTCTTTTTAATTTTTTGCCCGAGATTCACGGATTGAGGAAGACCCGTTTTCAATAACGCCGCGCACATTCGTTTTCCACGATCGCAAGAGTTGTTCGAATTTGTTTTCACAGCTCAAAATTGCAATTTTCAAGGTACCGGGAATTGTGTGTTCGAAGGACTCCGGATTATGAGGGTGCGGCAACAACGTTGATTCGCGGCGTTGAAGCCCCAGGAATTACGTTCGGGCGCGGTTCGGATCGTCAAGACGCAACAATCAGATTGATCCGTGGCGTTGGAATCGCGATAACAATGTTTTGGCATGCTTCAGGGTCTTCAAACGGTTGTCTTCCAACGAGGCGGTTCCCTCTGTGGAAATGGACCGTTGCAGGGGCCTGTGAAGAGGGAGCTTGGAGGGAGGGTTTATTCCAACATCGTTGATGGCTCCTGGGTTTGCACTGGTCCTCCTCCTCCTCCTCCTCCTCCTCCTCCTCCTCCTCCTCCTCCTCCTCCTCCTCCTCCTCCTCCTCTCTCGCTTCCCTTTCCCTGCCTTTTCCTCTCCCGCCCCCCAGCCGCTGGCCTCTCCTCGACTCTCAAAAATCCATGACGGCCCAAGCAGCTTCCAGAATCGCCCCAGAACGCCCCCCCCAAAAAATGCCCCAAGACGGCCCAAGAGGGCCCCCAAAACAGCCCAAAGAGGCCCTCAAGACCGCCGCCTCTCCGCCGCCCCCCCCCCCGCGCAGCCCTCTCCGCCCCCCCTCCCTCCGCGACAGGAGGCGGCCGCGGGTGCCCCGCCTGTGCTGTCGGAAGGCTCCGGCGCCCAGTGGCCGCCGGCCGCCGCCTCCGACCGGGACGGCCCCCCGACGCTGCCGCCAAGGCTCGAGTTCCTCCTCCTCATTTTCCTCCTCCTCCTCTCCTCCTCCTCCTCCTCCTCATCTCCCCCTCCTCGTCCTCCTCCTCCTCCTCCTCCTCCTCCTCCTCCTCCTCCTCCTCCTCCTCTCCTCCTCCTCCCCCTCCTCCTCCTCCCCTCCTCCCTCCCTCCTCCTTCTCCTCCTCCTCCTTCTCCTCCTCCTCCTCCTCCTCCCTCTCTCCCTCCTCCTCCTCATCCTCCTCCTTCTCCTCCTTGTCTAGGGGATCGACTGCAAAATTGATTTGCCCAAAATTAGTTGTTCTCCGTCAAGCTTACGTAGAATGTTCAATCGACCTACGAATGAGTGCGCGCAGGCTTCACACATGCTAGACGCTTCACGTAACCCCACCAGCCCATCCAGGAACGATGCCCAGGCGAGATGAGGTATCTTGGCGGGCCCGAGGGCCTCTTAGAGCGTCTTGCTTGCCTCGGGGAGCCTTTGGGGGCCTTTGGGGGGCCTCTTGGGGGTCTCTTGGGAGCCTTTTGGACGCCTCGCGGGGGCCGCTTATAAGCTTCTTGGGGGCATCCTGGGAACCTCTTGGAGCTATCCTGGGGGCATCAGAAGCCCTCTTGGAGCCATCTTACAAGAGCTCGAGCAAAGAAGGGGGGCCCTTAATATTAGACTCCCCCCTTCTTGGAGCGCACTGGGGCGCTCCTAGGGCCGTTTGGGGGCTCTCTTGGGCCTCTCCTGGGGCCCTTTTGGGCTCTCTTGGAGCCATCTTGAGGCCTCGGAAGGCCATCGAAAGCAAAAAGGCGAGAGACCAAAGTCATTGATGTTCCTTTGGTGTTTGAAGGATTTCGGCCTCGCGGGGCCTCCGTGGAAGGCTCCGTGGCAACTTGGACCCGTCTTGGAACGCTCTTGGGGCCTCTTGGAGCATCTTGGAAACCATGTTGAGCCAGCCTGGGCTATCTTGAGCCGTCTTGGAGACAATCTTGGGCTATCTGAGGCGCTCGTGGAGCCTTCTCGACACCTCAGGAAGCCCCCCCCCTTCCAGGTCCAGGGGAGGGGGCATGGGGGAGGGGAGAAAGCCCCTCCCCGAAGGGGAAGAAAGGGGGTTGGAAGGGAGAGCTCTCTAGACCACCTGCGCCCTGAAGGGCTGTTGAGACTCGGCGGCACAGCAGCTGCTTGTTTGGCAAATCGGCATTGTGGTCGAGCTCCTGGTCGAAAGGCCTCGGCAGGCACTGCTGGACGGCCAGCCCGTGGAGCCCCCAGCGCCGCAGGCGGGGCCTGGAGTCGACTGGAACGCCGCCTGGAACCTCCAGGCCTGGAACAGGCGCCCGGGGCGCAGGCGAGGGGACCATCCCCCCGTGCTCCTCCTCAACCCCTGGGGAGGCTGATAGACCTCCTGCCCTGACACGCCGATGAGCTCCTCCTCGATCCCTCTCCAGGCCTTCCCTCCTGCCCTCCTCCCTCTCTCCCTCTCTCCTCCTCGCTCTCCGACCCTTTTCCTCGCCCCCGCCCCCTCCTCCTTCAGCTCCACCGCCTTGCCCAGGGCCGCCCGCCCATCCAGCGGTCATTGCCTCCCCGTCGTGGCCGCGCGCGCGCTCCTGTTTCTGGATCGGCTGTGCAATCCAAGGCGATGGTAGCTTGTTGGAAGAAGGCGCCGCGGTGACGAGTAGCGAACGGCTGACACTGCTGTGATAGTGGAGAGTTTGCTCCTCCTCCTCCTCCTCCTCCTCCTCCTCCTCCTTCTCCCTCTCCTCCCTCACTCTCCTCCTCCTTCTCCTCCTTCTCGTCCCCCTCCTCCTCCTCATTCCTTCTTGCCCTCCCTCCCTCCTTCCTCCCTCCCTCTCGACCTCTGGAGAGCAAGCGGCCTCGGGAGGCTCCTCGGAGCGCAGGAGTGCCCCTCGCCCCTCCTCCTCCTCCTCCTCCTCCTCCTCCTCCTCCTCCTCCTCCTCATCGTGCTCTCTCCTTTCGCTCCTCGTCCTTCTCCTCCTCCTCCTCGTCCTCCTCCTCCTCGTCCTCCTCCTCCTCGTCCTCCTCCTCCTCCTCCTCGTCCTCCTCCTCCTCCTCGTCCTCCTCCTGCTGCTCCTCGTCCTCCTCCTCCTCCTCCTCCTTCTCCTCCTCCTTCTCCTCCTCCCCTTCTCCTCCTGCTCTGCACCTTAGCCGTTCTGGCTCAGGCCTTTGAGGCGCTGAGCTTGCAAGCGCGTACTTCAGAACGGATCGTGCTTGTGAGCCGTTTGCGGTCTTTCACGCTCGCCCCAGCCGCTGCAGCCAGCGGCGCATGGGGCCACCGCCCGATGTCTTGGCAGGCGCGAAGACGCCCATGTGGGGGTGCCCGCACTGCGGTTGCTGGGACAATTGGGCCAGTCGGATCAAGTGCAGGGCCTGTGGAGGAGCTGCGCCAAACAAGGTGGTGCAGGCCGCAAAGAGGGCAGCAACTGCTGCAGCCCCACCCGCCAAGAGTGGCCTGCGCAAGCCAGGAGGGGCACGGGCGAACGGGCCGCCTCGCTTCACTGGCGCGGGCGAGTCAGGCTCAGCCCAGGCGAAGCTCATCAAGGACCTGCAGTCGAAGTTGGCGATGCTTGAAGGGAGCAAGCCGCCGTGGAGGTCGCCTCCACAGCAGTCCAGTGGTAAGCAGCTCACCCACGCCGAGGTGGTGCAGTTCCTCAAGCGCGAGGGCCTGGACGCGACAGGAGTTGAGGAAGCTGGGAAGAAGGCACATCAGGCTACGGTGCCGAAGGCCCCTTCGGCGCGCACCCAGAGGTGGAAGGTTGACAACCTGCGCACCAAGCTGGGCAAGCTGGAGTCGAGGGCGACGGCCCTTCGCCTGCAGCGCGAGGAGTTGGACAGGGAGCTCAACGAGATCTGCTCCAACGTCGAGACGCTCAAGGGCGAGCTCGGCACTGCTGAGACTGCGCTCTTCCGTCTTCAGGCTGAGGAGAGCACGGACCCACTCAAGGCCATCTCGGCGGCCCTGGACGACAGCGTGGCCCAGTCGTCGGAGGGAGCAGCAGCCTTGGCGGCCCTCCAGCGGCTCAACGCCGCGGCCCTGGAGGCCAAGCGCGCTGCTCAGCAGGCCGCTGCCGATTATGCTGCTACTACTGGCTCTGCTGGCGGCGCCGGTGGAGGGCCAGGTGGCACGGCCGCTGCAGATGGCGAGCACACCGCAGCAGGAGACGACGATATCGACGTGGAGCTCCTTGGAGGCGAGGGCGATGAGCAGAAGCAGAAGGAGTTCGCTGATGCAGCGGAGCGCCTTCGCCAGGCTGCGCAAGAGGACCAAGCAGAAGCCAAGCGCAAGTACATCGAGGCAGCTGCCGCCCTTGGCATTCGCATCAAAAAGCCGAGGACTGGGTCGCCTCACCCAGACCGCTGCGGCAGCGATGGCTCCAGTGACTAGTGCTCTGAGCTTGTTCCTGGGGAGCAACATGGTCGACGCCGATTGGGAGGATGCCGCGGGCTTCGCCGTCCCAGTTTTTCGCGACGACCTGCCATTCGATTCGATGCTTTTCCGCCAGCGCGATGGGGGCAGAGTCGAGCTGGACGAGTCGGAGTGGCCGCAGTTAGGCGCAGCGAGGTCCACTGCTTCGGGGAGCGGAGCCTTGGGCAAGGGGGAGAGGGATTCAGTCCCTCGCCGTCCAACCCCCGTGCCCACATCGGCGCGAGGTTCTTTGTTGAGGACTGGGCCATCCGCGTCGACTGGTGCACTCACGGCCCCTGGTCGGCCGCAGAGGCCGCCACAAGGAGCTGCTGGTCATGCTCCCCAACTGGCCCGTCCTTCGGGGTGGGGGACAGGAGCGAGCTCGGTGGCAAGGTCGGCGACGTGCGAGGCGGCTCCTCCTTCGTCGGCGGCGCGCTCTCCTTCGATGGCTGCGACGACTGGGTCTTCGTGTGGCGTTAGGACGCAGAGTCCTGGCGGCGGGGGTCTAGGGCCCCCCCGTCAGGCTCGCGCGTCGCCCCCTGCCTCTCCCTCCCCCAGGGCACCCCTTCCACAGGAGGCGGGGGAACCAGCGCGCGGGGCCGGGGGGCAGGGTGTTTTGCGGACGCAGCAGACGTTTGCAGCTGTCGAAGGAAATTCGCTACACAAGCGCACCGTCGATCGCGAGGGCTACGAGGCGGTCGTGATTGAGGGCCCCCCTGTGCTAGCCGTCGATCGAGAGCCAGGGGCCCTCGCGATTTTCGGAGTCAATGCCAACAGTTGGAGACCTTCAAGCTGGTGATGGACTGGTGCCAAGATCGTGGGCCAGAGCTGTTTGACTTGAAGCGACCTGACGGTAGTGGCGTGCAGCCACATGTGATTTGCAACCAGGAGACGCGGCTGAAGACGGATGAGAAGCTCCAGCAGGCCTACCAATGGGGTCTGCAACGCCAGTTTGACCTGACCCTCGGGACGGCTATTTCGACAGGTGATGGGGCCAACATGAGCTCGGCAGGTGTTGCTCTAGGTGTCGTGCCCTCCATCGCGTCCTCGGTGATCGAGTCCGAGCTCTTTGAAGACTTCAGCTCTCGTATTTCGGCGCGTCTTTTGAGTGTGGCCCCCCCGTCAGGCCCTGTTGTCATCCCGGTCAACTTCTACACCAGTCTCGGACTCAATGGGGATAACCTTATGCTTCTGGATGTCCTGGGTCAGTTTGTGTGCAAGATCCAGTGTCTATGGTTAATACAGGCCGACTGGAACCCGGCGCCCCATGAGCTGGCGACCAGTGGATGGCTCGAACGAGTAGGCGGTTCGATGTCTACCCCAGGTCAGCCAACTTCCAGATTCGTTGCTGCGGCGGGCGGCGACGCTGCTGCAGCTCGCCGGGGCGAAAAAGACGGGGGGGATCAAGGAGGAGTTCAAGGAGACAGGAAGGAGAAGGAGGCTCGTGAGCTGGACATCTTTGTAGGTGTTCGCGCACTTGGTCATTGTGTTCGGGAAGCCAGATGTTTTCCTGATGCGCCAGTGCATCCACACATGCCTGTTGGACTCATCTTAGAGGGCCTCTCCCCCACCGGGCTCATCACGAAGCAGGCGCACTTCAAGCGCTTCCCGCTGGGGCCATGCGTGGGCCCCCGAAGATTCCAGGGTGAAGAGGAATGGTCTTGGGATCCAGGAGGCCTCCAAGTGGGCTCGCTGCAGGGGAAGATCAAAGAGTGGTTCACCTTCCCCGAGAACTGGCTCGTCGACCTTTTCGATATCGACGCCGCCTCCAGGGATGCGCACTGTGGTAGGGCTGCGGGGCCCAAGACGGTCAAGGTTCCCCTGAAAACGGTTTGGGCCCGCGAGGCTCGCCGGAGGTATTCGGATCGAACTACTTCTTGGCTGTCATTTCAGGCGCTTGCTAAGGGGCCCCCCCACCCTGTCCAGAGGCAACTTGGGGAACCCAGGCAAGGCCAAGCTCAAGGAGTGGTCCACTAGGCCGAGGGGCATGGCCCCGATCTTAGACTGCAGCTCCGCCCACGAGGTGGGCCAGCCGTTCGTGCTAGACTTGATTTCAGCAGTTGAGTCGGCCCGCGTGGACGTAGAGAGGCAGTTTGGGCAGCTAGATAAGTATGTCGACGCTTTGAGGGGCCAGGACTCGAAGGATTCGCTCGCTCGATGGAAGACCTGGGCTTCGGATTCGGCGCAGAAGGGGGGGCGAGCTGCTCGCGCTTTCTCTCGGAAGTCGCTGACCGACCGCAGCTGCCAGTTTGCTGCCCCCGTCGACGAGGTCGACCTCCCTGTGAACGGGCATGAGGCCGTCCAGGCCTTGCGTGACCAGTGGATGGCGCTCTGGTACCAGGACAGGAGGAAGGGTCAGGATCATCCGACAACTTGGGACGCGAGGGGGGGCACCTTGCCGCCAATAGAGCTGGGCCAGCTCTTGCACGCGCGCCGTGGGCACGCTGAAGGTGCAGGTCTCGGATGGGACGCCTTCCACCCCAAGCTGGTCTTGCTGCTCCCCCAGTCCTATCAAGAAAGAATCCTCGACATCCTCCATGGGTTCGAAGAGGCCCCTGAAGTGCTCTCAGACCTCCCCACAAACATCATCTTCCTGGATAAACCCGATGGTGGGGTCAGACCCATAGGATTGCTTTGCTTTTTCATGAAGATTTGGTCAAAGTGTCGGCAGGCCCTCTGTAAGAAGTGGGAGGTGGAGCATCCCGTTTCGGTCTTCTGGGGCGCCGGCCCCGACACCGCGTGCGAGCGAGCTGGATGGGCGCATAACATGCTAGCGCATTTCGGGCACTGCATAGGCACGGCATCGGCGACAGCACTGCCAGACCTAAATAAACTCTACGAGCACATCACGTATGTGGACCTGTACGCAGCGGCGGTGGAGGACAAGTTTAACCTTAAGTTACTTCGGGGGATCTGCACTATATATGCTGCCGATCGGGTGCTGTACTACGGTGGGTCTGTATCTCAGGCCCCACGGGCCAACGGGGGGGCGATTGCAAGTTGCTCGGCTGCCACGACGCTATCACGACTGCTGCTGCTCAAGCCGCTCACTCTAGCTCAGTTCGGCAGGCCGCAGCTGGCTGTCGGAAGCGTGATTGATAACATAGCCTTACAGATTGTGGCGCCCCCGTCCGTCGTGGTCGAACAGTTGTCGAGTGGCGCGGAGTCGCTCATCGCCAGCGTTGTAGAGCTCGGGCTGCCAGTTTCCGACAAGTCGAAGTACTTGTGCAGCAGCGCGGAGGTCGACGCGCAGCTGCAGCAGGCCTGGTCATTGCCCCCAACCAGCAGGGCATCGTCGGCTCGGAACTTAGGCACAGACGCTACCATGGGGATTTCCAGGCGAGTAGGGATCACCAGGGCTCGCTGGGAGGGCGCCACGAAGAGAGCTCGGAGGATCGGAGTGCTTCGGAAGGCTGGGGCAAGAACGGTTTGGATTCAGAGGTCGGGCCCAACGTCGTCGGCCTTGTCGGCCTCCAGCATCCAGGGGGTCCTTCCTTCGCGGGCACATGCCCTTCGGCTCGGAGCCCTTGGAAGTCTTGGGAAAGTTCCACGAGGAGTTTCAGCAGGCCTCAGGCTCCGCAGCTTCAAGGAGGGCCCCAGGGTGGACCCGCTAATCTTGAACATAGATGCCGTCGTCTTCCAGTGGGCGCAGGCGGTCTGGGAGTCGTTCCCGAAGGTAGGTGTTCTCCAGACGTGCCTCGAGAGCGCGCAGGCCAGGCTGATGAATTTGAAGGCTCCGTGGGCAGCGGCAGCGGCTCCCGCAGAGGTGGCCGTTCTTTCTTTGCAGAGGATCGGGTGGCAGTTTGACTCCAGCACTATGCTCGCCACCGGCCGCGGCGAGAAGCTGGATCTGAAAAGGCTGCCTCCAGCTCTGATCAAGCAACTAGTTGAAGACGGGGCCTTGAGGGCTTCGTACCGTCAAGCGTTGTGGGCACGGGAACCCCGGGCTCCATGGTGCAAGGCCATCTTCTGGCAGGCGCTGGGCCCCCGGTTGCACGAGGTCTCGGAGACGCAAGGATGGCCCCGTCATCATCAGAGGTCCCTCAGGTCCATCATTTCGGGGGGCCATTGGCCGCAGTGCAGGCTGTGCAAGCACGGCCTCACGGACACGTGGGCCTGTCAGCTATGTGGTGACCCTGATGGGTCCCTATGGCACAGGGCCTACTGCTGCGCTGCTCATGATGCACTGAGGAGAGAGAGATAGAGAGAGAGAGAGAGAGAGAGAGAGAGAGAGAGAGAGAGAGAGAGGACATCTAGCTTCCTTCGGGCCCGAGCGGCTCGCGTCAAGTCCTGGGGCTTCGGGGTCGGGGAGAGGTTCGCCAAGGGCATCTTCCCCTGCCCCTCTGAGCTGCTGGAGGTCCCCGAGGAGCCCGAGCAGTCCATCTTCTGGGTCAACAAACCTGGGCTGGGCGTGCTGCCTGGCACGCCTTTCACTGACGGATCAGCCCGATGGGCCGATTGTCCCCGCCTAGCCCGCGCGGGCTGGGCGGTCATCCAGGTAGATAGGTTCGGTCAGTTAGTTTCTGCGGCCTACGGGCCAGTCCCGCGCGCGGTGTCTCCTCGACAGACGGCGCGCGACGCCGAGGACCTTGCTCTGAATATGCTGACGCAGGTCGCCCTGCCCCCCTTCGATGTGCATGCCGACTGATCAGGCACCGTCGGCACTGTTTGGAAGGGAGAGGGCGGGGGCTCGGACAGCGGGAACCCGAGGGCACACTTTTGGGGCCAATTGTGGGCTGGTCTTCAGAGCTCCGACATCAGGGTGCACAAAACGAAAGCCCACTGCACGAGCGCTGACATAGATGCTGGCGCCACCACTGAATGGGAGTTTCGAGCGAATAAGTTGGCCGATGAGCATGCTAAGCGAGGAGCAGCGCTGCACAGGGCCGACACAACTTTTTACGAGCTCTGGAAGGGGCTCGCAGCTTGTGCTCGCGAGGCGGCCGCATGGGCCGCCGAGGTCCACCTGCTAGCTGACGGCAGGGGCCACGAGGACCTGATGGAGCGGTATCTCTCCGCCCGCCAGGCCCCCGCTGCTGCGCCAGCTCCCGAGGGCGAGCCCGACCAGGAGCCGCCCGAGGAGCCCCAGGGAGAGGGGGGGGGGCCTGGGGAGGTGGGGCCTGGGTGGGAGGAGCTCGCGAGGACCAGCTTTCGGTGGAGGCAGCATCTTTTGCTGCAGGCCGATGTCGCAGGAGAGAGCCCGTATGTGAGTTTCATTATGTTCTGCTGCCGTTGCGGAGCTGTCAGCTCTGATGGCAAGCTGACCCAGTCGCTGTCGGAGGGATGCTCTGGCCACGCGGGCAAAGGCGCTCAGGGCCAGCTTCGGAGAACTTGCAAGGGCCAGTTCCCCCATTACAGGAAGGGGGTGAAGGACCTTCGCCTCGACCAGCCCCACGGTGCCATGCTCGAGGCCCGTGTGTTTCTGCAGGCCCAGGCGGATGCCATCGGGGCCCCCGCTTCTGCCGCCGCCGCCGCTCTGTCGCGTTCGACCCGGGGGCGGGCGGAGGTGGGTGGGAGGGACGAGGTGCTGCGTGCCTACGGGCTGACGGTCGAGGACCGTCCACAGGTGCTCGAGCTGGGGCAGCAGGCCATCCAGCGAGCGTCTGCTGCCTCCGAGGACCCCGATTTTGAGGAGGAGTCCGATTATGGAGGCTAGTTTTGGCGCGCTGCCTTCTGGGCCAACCCAAGCCAAGCCAAGCTCTGCACCTTCCGACCTCTTTGATCCTCTGTACCCACGCTCTCGCTAAGCGGCACCGCGCACCGACCTGGTCCGAGGGGTAACTTTGCCCTCCCCCGCAGCGGCGAGGCGTTCCTACCCTTTTTCCCGTTTTCCGAGTAGCCCTGGGGCGTCCTAGCCGCAAAGGTGGATTGAAGTAACCCAGTCGCATAATAGGAGCGCAGCAGGGCAAACACCTTCCGCGAGGAGGAGAACCAGAGTAAGGTGGTATATCGTATCAGGGCGGCACCACACGAAAGAATCCTTGAGAGAGTGAAGCGCTCGTGTCGTAGATTTTGCATGCTATCCCACATATGTTTCCCGGCGCACTGTATTACGACTCCCATGGATAATGCTGTATTTCATCGGGAAACGCTCCATTAAAGGGCCCACCGCAGAAAGAGCTATGCCCTCGCAGCAGGGCCGTTGTGTGCTTCGGCTGCGCCGTTTTGGAGCGCGTGCCTGCCCTCCCCCCCCCCCCTCCCCCTCAGAGAGCCTCCCCCGTTCCTCTCCCCCCCGTCCCTCCTCTCGGAAGGGGGCCGCTACACGGGGCCTGCGGCAGTTCTATACACCACCGAGCCTGGCCGGGGCCATGCTCGGCCGCAGGATGGTGCATGGACTCTCTTGGCCTCGGCCGGGAGGGCGTGCAGCCGGCTGGGGCAGAAGTAGGTCGACCCTGCCAAGTCAAGGGTACGGTGTTGTGTCCTGCGTCTCGCGACCTATGCCTCCTGCATTGCTGTGGCAACGTGGCCCTCGGAACGGTCGTGTGTCCTCTCGCGCGTCCTATCCGAGCAAGTCCGGCTGTAGGATGGCCCGGGCCAGGCATGGTGGTGGTGTGTGGGTGCCATTGCGTGTTGGGCGGGCGGGGCATCCCGTCGAGGTGCCCTGGGGAGCGCCTCGTGACCTGCGTCGCCATCGGCGGCCCTACGAGCGGCTCCGTCCGGCTGAAGCACGCGAGCTCCGTCAACGCGGAGTGGGACGGCACCGGTAGCTACGAGGAGGACGCGCGGCCAGCTGCTCCAGCTGCTGTGTCGTCTTCTTGCCGCTTCTGCCTCCACGGCAGTCGTGCTCGGCGTCAGCTCAACATGCTTATGCTATATGTGCGTCGCCCCCCCAGGGGCGACGCGCGCACCGAGAAATCTTGTAGTGTATGCGTCGTGGAAGGGCGCTTTCTGGCCACACCGCTCGGGAAAGGATCTACTACAAGATGGTCATACTGCATGTTCGGGTCGGACGCGCGCCTCCACGGAGGGCATGCAGCATCAGTGTGTCCCTGTGGGTCCCCACACCCCCGGGGACCCCCGGCTGCTCCTCCATTCCCAGACCCCCGGGCGCCCGAGAGCTGCCCGGGGTCTCCTCCCCAGCGGCCACAGTCTCCGGGCCCCCCCGGGCTGCGACCGCGGCGCAGGGGGCCAGTCCCGGGGGCGCGGTCGGGCCTCGCTGTGGACGAGAGTCTCGGGGGCGGCAAAGGGGGGGGGGTGATGACTGGGGGGGGGGGGCGTGGATCTCATGGGGTGGGCCATGATATCTCCTCAGATCTCATGGCGCCTCTTCTTGTTTCAACGCGTTCCCTGGCCCCCCCTGGGGCCGCGCACATGCCGCCAGCCATGACTTGCACCCCCCCCCTCTTGGACACCCCCCTCTTGGCCGCCCCCGAGAGTCTGCGGTGTCGGAGGCATGGGTGCTCCAGCCCCCCCCCCCCCGGCCGATTGTCTTTTGGTCGGGCCTGTCCCTCTACAGGGAGAGTATAAGATTCAAAAGTAGTCAAAACATAGTCTGGGGACGATTTTTGTGGGGTATGTTTTGACCATTTGGGTGTCTGCGTTGACTAGTTTTGATTTTTCGTCCAAAATCCGCCTGTAGGGGGACGGGCCCGACCTAAGATTACCTGGATCCGAGGATCGCTGAGCCGCTGGTCGGTCGGGCTCGCAGACCGCGAAGACGCGGATCGGTCGGGGTCGGGGCAGTTAGAGATCGCTGAGCCACTGATCGCTCGTAGTCAGGGTCGGGGCAGTTGAACGGGCCTTCGATCGCAGGAGCTCCGCGATCGGCTCGTGGTCGTCGTCGATGCGGCGCGATCTTCCGTCTCCAACTGCTCCTGCTCTACGTGGGAGGCCTCCACCCAAGGTCGAATCGTGGATCGGTGTCCAGGTCGGGATCGAGATCATGGCCGGGTCAGGTCGGGGTTAGGGTTGGAACGCGGATCACCTTGAACCAAGGAGGTGTTGGAGGAGAGAGAGTTGGAAGAGGAGGGAGGGATGGAGGATAAGGAGGAGCAAGGCGTGTCCAAGGTGGGCAAGAGGGAAGGCGAAGACATGGATGGCCAAAGAAGTACGATGAGGAGCGGCGCCTCCTGCGCAGACCCCCCGCCGAATCTCGGGGCCCAACGCTCGTCCGTGCTGAACGCTTTGGCCACGTGGCGTCCTACAGCCGTCGACGGGCAATGAGCCACAAGCGTCTGCAACGTCTGGGGCGTTCCCGAAGAGGCCCCGCCTTCGGTGCGCCGCGGCTCCGGCGGAAGCAGCATGGTGGCAGGTCCGCCGGTGGAAAACGGCCGCAGGCGTTTTTTCTTTCCCAGTTCGACTACACGTAAGAGTTGTGGAGGGCGATCAATGGAGAGGAAGTATATGGCCAAATCATTTGCAGATGTCTAAAACATGTAAAACCACATGTTTTAAACATGTACAAGAACATGTTTAAAACATGTTTATACAATTTTCCGACATTCAAACCAAATGGCAAATTCAGAGATAGGACTGTTAGGGTGTCCATTGTCGTGCCATCCACAACGTAAGAGTGACCTTCCGCCGCAGTGATCTTTGGTGAGGGCCCACTGTGGTCCCCCGAGCGCCGCATGTCATGGGATGGTGTTAAGTCGGGCCTGTCCCTCTACAGGAGGAATATTCAAAAATAGTAAAAATAGTCTGGGGACGATGTTTTGTATTGTTTTTGAGCATTTCGGGGCATGTTGTGATTAGTTGTTATTTCTCATCGAAAATCGGCCTGTATAGACACGCCCGACCCACCGGTAGTGTTAAGTCGGGCGTGCCCCCCCGACAGGGGGATGTTCGACGAAAACTAAAACAGATTCAAAACATATTCCCATATGATCCAAAAATCATCAAAACATAGTCCCTGGGCAATCTTCGGACTATTCTTGAACACTCCCCCTGTGGGGAGTCCCCCATGAAGCACCACGACGTACCGATCTGGACAGAGGAGCGCAGATCTCGGCCACAGCGCTGGAGCGAGAGACTCAAAAGGTCTGGGCCTCGACCGGTGGGCCAAGGCGAGCCCACGACGGGAGCCCAGACGGGCCCAGAGCACGCGGACACCCTCTTACGAGATGGTCCGATCAATTTCCTCCTCCTCCTCCTCCTCCTGTTCCCCCCCTGTTCCTCCTGCCCCCCCCCCTCCTCCTCCTCCTCCTCCTCCTCCTCCTCCTCCTCCTCCTCCTCCGTAGCCATTTTGGCTCAAGCCATTGGGCGGAGCTGGCAGCGGCAGGCCGTCCTCGGGCGGCGGGGGCCTCGCGGTGCGCGATGGTTTCGACGCAGGCGGCTGTGTTGGCGGGCAGCCCAGCGGCGGGGGCTGCCTTCGGTGCCATTTCGGCGGCTATCGAGATGGGCGTCTCGACCAAGTGCTTGACGTCGCTCGTGGCTGCTGCAGTTCGAGGCGCTGTTCAAGGCGCCGCGGCTACGGCGGCCGCAGAGGACAAGATCGACCCGCTCGACGAGGTGCAGGCTGTCGTCAACCTCGTGGGCGACATCGCGGGCGTGGAACGGACGGTCAAGGACGCCAAGGAGGTCCTGTCTAGCCTGGGGGCTCCTGGCCGTGCCGTGGCGGGCAGGCTGGGGCGAGCCTCCAGGTACCGGAACGCGACTGCGCACCCGGCGTGCGCCGGCCTCGCCGCGGCGGCGGGCCAGGTCATCGCCAGTGCCGGACCACAGTTGAAGCAGGGCCTGATGAAGAAGAACTCGTCCATCGAGAGTTCGACCGACGTGCCCGAGAGCGAGGACGGCGCCCTGGTCGGCTCGGTGGCGGCCGACATCGAGGTGAAGCCGTTGAAGGAGCTGTCGAAGGGCACGGCCGAGACGGCTCAGCAGCTGCAGCAACAGTTCACGGACCTGCAGCTCAAGATGGAGGAGGCTTCGAAACTGCTCGGCGTGTACCGCGTGCAGTCCGAGGACAGTAACAACCTACAGACTGATGCTAAGGAGGCGGAGAAGGTCGAGACCCTGACGGAGTACGAGCTTTGCCTCGTGGACTCGGCCATGCAGAAGGCGCTCGAGATCGGTTGGGAGTGTACGGACGAGCTGCGCAGCCAGTTCGTGGACAGGGTTCTCCAGGAGCGCTCGAGTTCGGCTACGTGATCAGCAAGTGCGCGCTGATCAACAAGTTTTTCTCCTTCCTCCAGGTCGGGGGAATCTGGAGTGCCCCGCATTCCTTGTCCCCTCAGGCGTGAGGCGGCCCGCCGACGGCCGCAGATCCCCTTTTTGTAACTGACCACTGGTCATCTGAGCGGTCCTCCTCCTCCTCCTCCTCCTCCTCCTCCTCCTCCTCCTGTTCCCCCCCTGTTCCTCCTGCCCCCCCCCCTCCTCCTCCTCCTCCTCCTCCTCCTCCTCCTCCTCCTCCTCCTCCTCCTCCTCCTCCTCCTCCTCCTCCTACTCCTCCTCCTCCTCCTCCTCCTCCTCCCCCTCCTCCGCGGCTCGTACTCAGCGTTCGTTCGTTCTTTCGTTCGTTCCCCTTGTAGGGGGACACGCCCGACCTACCGACGGTGGCCTCTTCGCGCTCAGGCTTCGGCCCCGATGGCCGCGCACCAGAGGCCACCCCTTCGGCCTAGAGGGCCACGCTTGACCCTGCGCGCCGAGGCGACCCGGCCCCCCGCGCGCCGCCCGAAGAGAGTCGCCGCTCAGAAACAATCAGGAGGGGAAAAACACAGGCACAATGAATCGTCGATTCCCAGGAACAAAAATTGAAAATATGGGAAAAGATGGGGAAGCCTTTCGCCCGAAAAGTGTCGCCGCTCAGAGGATCCGAGGCGGGAATTTATACATGACCACCGCCTGGAGGGTCAGTTTTCGGAGCCTCGGCAGGCGGTGGATGTAGACATCCGGGCCCCCGGGCGCCGAAATATATTCATATCCACCGCCCGCTGGGGCACCAGGACGTCGGCTCCCAGGCGGTGGATACGGATAAGTCCCCGCCTCGCAGAAGAGGGGGGGGATCTCCGGGGATACACCCCCGGGGGGGGGGGGCTATTTGGACGCACCCCCTATCGAGGATGCTCGCCCCCACCGAGCGTGCCACGCAGGAGGGGGCCCAAGACTTCTGGCCCACGCGGCAACCCCACGAAACCCGGGAGAGGGGCCGACGCGTCCCCCGGTCCGACGGCGGCAGCCGAAGTCAGACGCCGGCGTGCCTGGCTCCAAGGCTTCCCAAGCTGGTCCCGCCCGCCACAGAGAGGGGGGCCTGCGATCGGCAGGGTGCATAAAACGACGCGAAGATCGGGACAAAATCGGATCGGGAGAACTCGAGATCTCTGAGGATCGGCGGGTGTGGAGGAAATATCGGGCGCCGCGGCCGCTCCAGAGCGTTCCGGAACGCTCTGAGAGCGCTCCGGAACGCTCTGGAGCGATTTATCCCGATCCTAGCCCTGTTTTAGGCCTGCGATCGGCAGGGTGCACCGTTTCTTCGCACCACGTGCCTTGCCCCTCCTCGTTAACGGACGCCCGGCCTGAGTTTGCGCATTCATGGCCATCGCCTGAAGGTTCGCGGCGCCCGACCTGAAGCAGTCGGTCCTCAGGAAACAGGCCGTCCTCGGGCCGTGGGGTCCCTCCACGGACCCTAGAGGACCCTCAACAGAGCGACTCGGAATGAAAGGCTGGTCTCGGGGGGGTGGAAAGGCTCGAGGATCGAGGATCGGAGGATCGAGGATCGGTCGAAGATCGAGGATCGAGGATCGGGAAGGCCCCAGGGTCCACGGCGCGCTTCCCTTGGAACTCGCCCGCGCCATCCCAGCCCAGAGCGGGGGCCGATTTTGACAGGACCCTGGCAGGGACCGACACAGACCCGGACCCCTTCGAGAATTACGAAAAGATCACGACGGGCAGTTCTTCGTCACGTTCGGCTTCCGCGGGCCCTCAACGGCCCTCGGGACCGTGAAAGAACGACTCGGGATGGAAAATTGGGCCGGGCACACGGGTCCAGATCTCTGGGGGTCGACGTCGTAAAGTCATGGCGTCGGGGGCCTGGGTGGGGCGTTGGCAAGGCAAAGCAACGCCAACCAATGCCAAGCAATGATTCCAAGCAATGATTCCAAGCGACGCCAAGCAATGCCAAGCAATGGTTTGCTTGCAGTGCTTTGCATTGCGCAGACCTGTTTTGGATTGCGCTGAAAGACAGCAGACCCCTTTTCGAGGCGTCGTCAGGTTCTTATTATTTGGAGATGTCTCCGCTTGGGGTTCCCGTTCGATTCATATCGAAGGTGTGGGCAACTTGTCCGTGCTTGCTCACTCGAGGATGGTGTGCTCCCAACCACATCGGATCCTCTAGAAAAAACAGGGTCCACATAGTACTCTGCCCCTTTTTATAAAGGTGCGGATGCGGAGCGTTTTTTGTAGAGTCCTCGACAAAGAACGCGATCCAGAGGCTCAGAGGTTCAGACTACGAGAAATCTGCTGCGTGTGTGCCCGCTCCCGGGTGGGAGCGGGTACGAGGATCTAGATTCCCGTGGCGGCCTGGGTTGCTGAAGCTGTGCATGTGTTTTTTTCACGTGTCCTTTTCGCTTTCGCACGTAAGCCTCAGGATCAACAACACACGTGGCTCCTCCTCGCTTTTGCCCGTGGGCCTCGGGCCACTGGAAACCGCTGGGCCCCTTTGCCTTGTGAACCACGGGGCCTTAAAACCTCGATTCTTTTGGAATATGTCCAGGGCGCTGTTTTTGTTGCCGTTCTTGACTCGGCTTGTTGGACATCATGCCGTAAGTGCTTCTATGTCCCAAACAAGAAAGTTAAAAACGGCATAGAACTCTGATTTGTTTTTGCGCTTTTGCCAGCGTTGTTTTTAAAACGGCGTTTCCAGATCAGTTGGTTGCACTGTTAAACATTGCCGTCTACGACATCCTCAGTTCCCCCTCCTGGCATGCAGTCCTCAGCCCTCCGGCTCTCTCACTCCGACTGCTCGCCGCCTTCGGAGCCCTTCCTTGGGCGTCGGGCCTCCTGGCCCGATGGTCGCTTGCCCCTCTTGGGGCCGTCGGGCCTGGGGGCCTGTTTCGGGCCAGGGATAGACCAGTGTCAGGAAGTGTTTGTTGCGCTTTCAGCGCTGCGAGGGAGAACGGCGGCGGAAATTAAACATGGGAATGAAGACAGAAGGGAAGACAGGGAACAGCCGTCAACCAGAAAGCAACAGAGCTGAAGAATGGATGATCCAGAGCGACGGTCCTGAAAACGCTGACAAAACGGAGCTAAACACACCAAGACACAGTCGTGCTTCTGTATTGCGTTTTTAGTTTGTCAAGAGCCCAAAGTGCAAAACGGTTAAACAGAAAAAGCCCAAGGCGTTTTGAAGAAGAGCCAGGTGCAAAACATAGTGTATCCTTTCGCCCGTAAGCCTCGGGCCTGACAAAACACATGGGTTACTTTTGACCGTAGGCCTTGAGACCCTCATTTGGCACGTGCCCTGACGCGTCCACTGCCACGTCCCATGGCACGTCCACTGGCGCTTCCCGTGGCACGTCCCCTGGCACGTTCCTTGACTCGTCCTCTGCTGATTCCTCTACATGTTCGGTGGCGTTTCCCCTGGCGCGTCCCTTGGCACGTCTCTTGACGCGTCCACTGGCGCGTCTCGTGGCACGGTCCCTGGCATGTTTCCTGGCGCGTCCCCTGTCGAGTACCTTGGCACGCCCCCTGGCACTTCCAGTGGCGCGTCACTGACACGTCCATGGCACGTCCCCTGGTTGCCCCCTGGCGCATCCCTTGGCGTGACCCTATCATATCCTGTGGCGTGTCCATGCGCTCACTGTCGCCTCCTGCCGCATCGGAACCGAATCGGAGCGTAAGCTCGAGCTGATTGGGCACGCCGAGACTATGGGCGAGCTTAATCGTCTGCGACGAGATCTGGGCGAGCGATGCGTTCGGGCACCTCGAGCTCAAGATCCAGATCAGTTAGATCAGGATTCGGACACAGTCAGTTGCGCGATATCATCACAGTCGATACGCTCAGCATTGCCATTGTCCATCGCGCAAGTTCGGGCAGTTACATCTCCGTTTCCGGGTTCGTGGGTCGAACATTCATGGATCCGGGGTTCCCAGAGTCGGCCGTTCACATTCTTGCGATACGGTGTCGTTCTCATGTTTGCAGGACGTGCGGCCAGTTTCCTGGAGGGTCCGCAGCCCTTGGCTCAAGGCCACATCATGTCTTTGTCTCGGAACGACGCTCTTTCTTGCTATGACGGCGGACCGCGCCGACAGCGGGAGCGCGGCTACTGCACGGTGCGTGAGCCCGCGAAGGGCTTCTTCCTCACCGGCTCAAGCATCGAGGACCTCAACGGCATATATTGCCACGTTAAGTTGAGTTCGCTGCTGTTCGAAAGGCGGCCGCAGATCGCCTACAGGAACGAGCGCACGGGCTGGTTCATGGTACTGCAGGAGGCACCGCCGCCCGATCCGCGAACAGCGGGGAGGTCGTTCTGGACGCGGCCAAGCGGTGCTTCCGATCGGATGTCTTCGCCGTCCTCTTCCGAGGAGAGCGAAGGCGGCTACGACGCAGAGTGGTGCCTCATCTCGAAGTAGGAAAATCAGCGTAAGCATTAGCTTTCGGAGGTCCGAGCGGATTTATTGGATCGGAGTTGGACCCCACTGGTGGCGCCTCAGGCGCCGACACTGGCGCGCTCCGCGCGCCTGGGGTCTGGGGCCCAGCGCCGATCCACGAAATCCGCGCGGGCCTCCGAGAATTTGGGCTACGGCAGATTTTTCCCCTTCTGTCGTCGACGTGCTCGGCCGCCAGCGCTTCTCCCACAAAGGGAACACCATCATCCCGGGAGCGGGCAACAGCTGGCGCCATCTCCACCGCGCGACCTCGGCCTTCGGCGGGAGAGCAGCAGCCGCTGCGCAGGCGGAATGGCACGAGTGCGGGGAGGACGAGTACGAGTCTGCCGCAGAGGAGTCGGGGTTTACTGCTGGTGTTCAGAGTAGGAAAATGTACCGATACCGCTGCTCCTCCTGGAGAGGTCTCGCCACCACGGCCAGACTCTCCTCGGAAGTCGGGTCAGAACGCACCCCAGGAGAGGTCCAGGGAGTAGCGGTATCGGTACCTTTGAGAGAGCGCGCCCGTCGCGACCGGAATAAGAAAAGGGGGGCCCCAGCTTCAAGCTACCCCCCCCCCTCCTTCCAAAAGGGGGGGGGAGCTTCCGAAGCTACCCCCCCCCCTCCCTTTCGTAAGGCGTTCTAAGCTGGGGGGGCTCTGGCTCAAGGGGGGGGGCTTCGAAGCTCCACCCCCCTCCCCCCCTTTTTTGGAGCAGAAGGTGAGCCCGGGCTTGCCATTCAAAGGGGAGGGGGGCTTCGGAAGCTACTTCCCCTCCTCCTTCCTGTTTTGGTTTGGACACAGGGGGGGGGGCGGCTTCAAGCTATCCCCCCCCGCCCTGTGCAAAGGTTGGGGGGTGTCCGAAGCTACCTCCCCCCCCTTCCTTCCGGGGCTCTGGTAAAATGGCGGAATCCATGACGACAGGTGCGCACCGCAGCGCTAGAGAACGAATTGGAGAATAACGTCGACCCCTGGTTCGTTTTCTCCTTTTCTCGTTTTCTCGGCCCCTGGTTCGTAGTCTCGTTTTCTCGGGCCCTGCCTCGTTTTCTTGTGTTCTCGTTGTGCTTTTCTTGTTTTCTCGTGTTTTCGGCTCCTGGGTCGCGGTCTCGTTTTCTCTGATCCTGGTTCGCGTTCTCGTTTTCTCGTTTTCTCGGCGCCTGGGTTGTGGTCCAGTTTTCTCGGGCCCTGCTTCGTTTTCTCGGTTTCTCGGCCCCTGGGTCGTGGTTTGGTTTTCTCGGACGCTGGTTAGTATTCTCGTTTTCTCGTTGTCTCGGCCACCGGTCGGTGGTCGTGTATTCTCTGACCTTGCTTCGTTTTCTCGTTTCTTCATTTTCTCAGCTCCTGGGTCGTGGTCTCGCTTTCTCGAACCAAGCATTTTCTGGTGATCTCGGCCCCTGGGTCGTGGTTTCCTCGGACCCTGGTTCGTTTTCTCCTTTTCTCGTTTTCTCGGCCCCTGGGTCGTGGGTCGTCTTCTCGTTTTCTCATTTCCTCGGCTCCTGGGTCGTGGTCTCGTTTTCTCGGGGCCTGGTTCGTTTTCTCGTTTTTTTTGTTTTCTCGGCCCCTGGATCGTGGTCTCGTTTTCCTGGGCCCCGGTTCGTTTTCTCGTTTTCTCTTTGTCTCGGCCCCTGGGTCGTGGTTTCGTTTTCTCGGGCCCTGATGCCGTTTATCGTGTTCTCGTTTTCTCGGCCCCTGGGTCGTGGTCTCGTTTTCTCGGACCCCGGTTCGTTTTCGCGTTTTCTGTGCTCTTGGGTCGTGGTCTCGTTTGCTCGGACTTTCGTCTGGTTCCTCGTTTTCTCGTGTTCTCGGCCCCTGGGTCGTGGTCTCGTTTTCTCGGACCCTGGTTCGGTGTTTTGTTGTCTCGCTTTCTCGGTTTTTGTTTTTGTTTGTGTTGTTTTTGTCGGGCCCTGGTTCGTGATCTCGTTTTCTTGTTTTCTTGGCCCTGGGTCGTGGTGTAAATCTTCCTCGGTCCCTTGTTAATTTCCTCATTTCTCGTGTTCTCGGCCCCTGGATCGTGGTCTCGTTTTCTCTGACCCTGGTTCGTTGTTTGTTTTCCCGGCCCCTGGGTCGTGGCTTCCTTTTCTCTGACCCTGGTTCGGTTTCTCGTGTTCTCCGTGTCTCGGCCCCTGGATTGTGGTTTTGTTTTCTCTGACCCTGGTTTGTTTTCTCGTCTTCTCGTTTTCTCTGCCCCTGGGTCGTGGTCTGGTTTTCTCGGGCCCCGGTCCGTTTTATCGTTTTCTCTTTGTCTCGTTTTCTCGGCCCCTGGTCCGTTGTCTTATTTTCTTGTTTTGTCGGCCCCTGGGTCGTGGTCGTGTTTTCTTTGATCCTGATTCGTTGTCTTGTTTTCTTGTTTCATCGTCCCCTGGGTCGTGTTTTTTGTTTCTCGGACCCTGGTTCGTTTTCGCGTTGTCTTGTTTTCTCGGCCCCTGGCTCGGACCCTGGTTTGTTTTATCGTTTTCGCATTATGTCTGCCCCATGGTCGTGGTCTCGTTTTCTCGGACCCCGTTTCGTTTTCTCGTTTTCTTGTTTTCTCGGCTCCTGGGTCGAGGTCTTTTTTTGTTTTGACCCTGGTTCGTTTTCTCGTTTTCTCGGCCCCTGGGTCGTGGTTTGGTTTTCTCAGGCCATGGTTCGTTTTCTTGTTCTCTCGTTTTCTCTGCTCCTGGGTCGTGGTCTCGTTATTCTGACCCTGGCTCGTTTTCTGGTTTTCTCTGCCCCTGGGTCGTGGTCTCGTTTTATCTGGCCCTGGTTCGTGTTCTCGTTTCTTGTTTTCTCGGCGCCTGGGTCGTGGTCAAGTTTTCTCGGACCCTGGTTCGTTCTCTCGTTGTGTCGTTTTCTCTGCCCCTGGGTCGCGGTTTAGTTTTCTCGGACGCTGGTTTGTTTTCTCGTTGCCTCGTTATCTCGGCCCCTGGGTCGCGGTCTCGTTTTCTCTGATCCTTGTTCGCGTTCTGCTTTCTTCATTTTCTCGGCCCCTGGGTCGTGGTCTCGTTTTCTCGGACCCCGCTTCGTTTTCTCGGTTTCTCGGCCCCTGGGTCGTGGTTTGGTTTTCTCGGACGCTGGTTAGTAGATTCGTTTTCTCGTTTTCTCTGACCCCGGATGGTGGTCGTGTCTTCTCTGACCCTGCTTCGTTTTCTCGTTCCTTCATTTTCTCGGCTCCTGGGTCGTGGTCTCGCTTTCTCGAACCAAGCGTTTTATGGTGATCTCGGCCCCTGGGTCGTGGTTTCCTCGGGCCCCGGTTCGTTTTCTCGTTTTCTCTTTGTCTCGGCCCCTGGGTCGTGGGTCGTCTTCTCGTATTCTCATTTCCTCGGCTCCTGGGTCGTGGTCTCGTTTTCTCGGACCCTGCTTCGTGTCCTCGTTCTCTCAGCCCCTGGGTCGTGGTCTCGTTTTCTCTGACCCTGGTTCGGTTTCTCGTGTTCTCCGTATCTCGGCCCCTGGTCCGTTGTCTTGTTTTCTTGTTTTGTCGGCCCCTGGGTCGTGGTCTTGTTTCTTTGATCCTGATTCGTTGTCTTGTTTTCTGTTGTTATCGTCCCTTGGGTCGTAGGTTTTTTTCTCGGACCCTGGTTCGTTTTCTCGTTTTCTTGTTTTCTGGGCCCCTGGCTCGGACCCTGGATTGTTTTATCGTTTTCGCATTCTGTCTGCCCCTTGGTCGTGGTCTCGTTTTCTCGGACCCCGTTTCGTTTTCTCGTTGTCCTGTTTCCTCGGCTCCTGGGTCGTGGTCATTACTTTGTGACACTGTTTCGTGTTCTCGCTTTCTTGGTCACTGGGTCGTGGTTTGGTTTTCTCGGGCCATGGTTCGTTTTCCTGTTCTCTCGTTTTCTCTGCCCCTGGGTCGTGGTCTCATTTTTTTTGACCCTGGTTCGTTTTCTCGTTTTCTCTGCCCCTGGGTCGTGGTCTCGTTTTCTCTGGCCCTGGTTCGTGTTCTCGTTTCTTGTTTTCTCGACGCCTGGGTCGTGGTCCAGTTTTGTCGGACACTGGTTCGTTTTCTCGTTGTCTCGTTTTCTCTGCCCCTGGGTCGCGGTTTCGTTTTCTCGGACGTTGGTTTGGTTTTTCGTTGCCTCGTTTTCTCGGCCCCTGGGTCGCGGTCTCGGTTTCTCTGATCCTGGTTCGCGTTCTCGTTTTCTCGTTTTCTTGGGCCCTGATTCCTTTTCTCGTCTTCTCGTTTTCTCGGCCCCTGGGTCGCGGTCTGGTTTTCTCGGGCCCCGGTTCGTTTTCGCGTTTTCTCTTTGTCTCGGCCCCTGGGTTGTCGTCTCGTTTTTTCGGCCCCTGGTCCGTTGTCTTGTTTTCTTGTTTTGTCGGCCCCTGGGTCGTGGTCTTGTTTCTTTGATCCTGATTCGTTGTCTTGTTTTCTTGTTTTATCGTCCCCTGGGTCGTGTTTTTTTTTTTCTCGGACCCTGGTTCGTTTTCGCGTTTTCTTGTTTTCTCGGCCCCTGGCTCGGACCCTGGATTGTTCTATCGTTTTCGCATTATGTCTGCCCCTTGGTCGTGGCCTCGTTTTCTCGGACCCCGTTTCGTTTTCTCGTTTTCTTGTTTTCTCGGCTTCTGGGTCGTGGTCTTTTTTGTGACCCTAGTTCGTTTCCTTGCTCTCTTGGCCCCTGGGTCGTGGCTTGGTTTCTCGGGCCATGGTTCGTTTTCTTGTTTTCTCGTTTTCTCAGCCCCTGGGTCGTGGTCTCGTTTTTTGACCCTGGCTCGTTTTCTCGTTTTCTCTGCCCCTGTGTCGTGGTCTCGTTTTCTCTGGCCCTGGTTCGTGTTCTCGTTTCTTGTTTTCTCGGCGCCTGGGTCGTGGTCAAGTTTTCTCGGTCCCTGGTTCGTTCTCTCGTTGTGTCGTTTTCTCTGCCCTTGGGTCGCGGTTTCGTTTTCTCGGGCGCTGGTTTGTTTTCTCGTTGCTTGGTTTTCTCGGCCCCTGGTTCGTAGTCTCGTTTTCTCGGGCCCTGATTCCTTTTTTCGTTTTCTCGTTTTCTCGGCCCCTGGGTCGTGGTCTCGTTTTCTAGAACCGATATTCGCGTTTTCTCGGCCTGGGTTGTTGTCTCGTTTGCTCGGACCTTGGTTTGTTGTATTGTTTTCTCTTGTTTTCGGCCCCTGGGTCGTTATCGTGTTTTCTCGGACCCTGGTTCATTGTCTTGTTTTCTTGTTTTCTTGTTTTCTTGGCTTCTGGGTTTTTGTTTTGTTTTTTCGGGCCCTGGTCCCTTTTCTCGTTTTCTCGTTTTCTCAGCCCTTGGGTTGTGATCTCGTTTTCTCGGGCCCTGGTTCGTTTTCTCGTTGTCTCGTTTTCTCGGCCCCTGGGTCGCGGTCTCGTGTTCTCGGGCACTGGTTTGTTTTCTCGGTGTCTCGTTTTGTCGGCCCCCGGGTCGTGGTCTCGGTTTCTCGGACCCTGGTTCGTTTTCGCGTGTTCTCGGCCCTTGGGTCGTGGTTACGTTTTCTCGGACCCTGGTTCGTTTTTGTTGCACCCTGGTTCGTTTTCTCGTTTTCTCGGCCCAGGGGCCGTGGTCTCGTTTTCTCGGACCCTTCTTCGTGTCCTCGTTTTCTCAGCCCCTGTGTCGTGGTCTCGTTTTCTCTGACCCTGGGTCGTCGTCGTCGTCGGTCGCGCGTCGTCCGTCGTCCGTCGCTGTCTTCGTATGACCTCGTCCTCGTCGTGACGACCACGACGAGGTCATGCGAAGACAGCGACAATGACGGCGACGGCGGCGACAACGACGACGAGGACGACGACGGCGTCGTACGAAGATGTCGAGCGACGGCGACGGCAACGACGACGGCGACGGGGGAGGATCGTCCGGCAGGGGAATTTCAAAGGAGGGGGTGGTAGCTTCCAGCAGGGGTGGTTCAAAGGGGGGGTAGCTAAGCTCTCCTCGCTTTGGTAAGTGGGGGAGGGGGGGGAGCTTCCGGAGCGGCAAAAGGGGGGAAGGGGGGGGGGAGCTTCCGGGGGGGGGCAAAAAACGGGGGGAGGGGGGGGGGCTCCCGGCAGAGGGGGGCCAAGGGGGGGGGGGTAGCTAAGCTCCCCCCCCTTTTGGAAAGGGGGGGAGGGGGGTAGCTTCCAACCGCCGAAAGGGGGGAGGGGGGGGTAGCTTCCAGGGGCGGGCGAAACAGGGAGGGGGGGGGGGGTAGCTTCCAGCAGGGGGGGTTCAAGGGAGGGGGGGTAGCTAAGGGGGGACCCCCCCCTTTGCTCTGTCACTGTGGGCGCGCTCTCCCGTACCTTCGTGCGTTTCCCCCCCTCTTCCCGTTGACCTTGGCCCAGGGTGCCCCTTGGCATGTCGCTCCATCCTGGACCCCTGTGGTGCCCTCTGGGCCTCGTGAGGGGTGCTCTGGAGGCCGTCGGGGTCTCCTTGGAGATCCTGGGGGGCGCACTCCTCCTCCTCCTCCTCCTCCTCCTCCTCCTCCTCCTCCTCCTCCTCCTCCTGCTCCTCCTCCTCCTCCTCCTCCTCCTCCTCCTCCTCCTCCTCCTCCTCCTCCTCTGGCGACGCACCCCGAGGAGGAGCAGCAGCTGCATGAGGCCGCGGCCGCTCGGGCTCCCGGCGGTGACCGCGCGGCGGAGGAGCCCGCGAGCACCGGTGCCCTGGCACGGCGGCCGACCGACGAGGAGGACGACGAGGACGAGCTGCCGTGGCAGGTGGCTCCAATTAAAACGACGCGAAAATCGGGACAAAATCGGATCGGGATAACTCGAAATCTCTGAGAATCGGCGGGTTTGGAGGATGTATTGGGCGCCGCGGCCGCTCCAGAGCGTTCCGGAACGCTCTGAGAGCGCTCCGGAACGCTCTGGAGCGATTTATCCCGATCCTAGCCCTGTTTTACCAATATGCAGTCGCTCGGGTGGGGTCGCGGGTGGGGTCGTTCGGGGATCGCTCCTCATCCACCCCTATATACCCGTTCCTCCATCTCTCTCCTCCTCCCCCCGCTCCCGCTCTCCTCCTCCTGCTCCTCCTGAGGAGGGCGGCCGTGAATCAACCCTGGGTCGGATCGCCTGGGATCCAGTGGCACGGGTGCACATGCGTTGCACCGTTGGTGGTGCCAAAACCCTTGGTGTGAAATTCCTTTGTGTGTTTTTCCTTGCTCCTATCCTCCCCCTTCTTTCATCCTCCTCCCTCCTCGTTCCTCCTCCCTCCTCCTCCTCCGCCGCATCCGTCGCCCCCGCGTCCTCCTCCTCCTCCTAAACCGCCTCCTCTTCCCTCTTCCTCCTCCTCGCGCTCTCCTCCTCCTCCTCCTCCTCCTCCTCCGCCTCCTCCTCCTCGCATAATTATCTTGCACGACGATGGGTACCAGTTCTGGGGCGCAAGGATCACGCACAGGATCCGATGCTCATTGCTCGCGGCTGGCAGTGGCTGTACCGTGTGTGGCATGAGTTTGAGTTGATGGTTCAGCAGCGTGATGAGCTTCACCAGCACCCGGCTGCCATTTCTCTTAAGCAGACCTGTCTTGTGGAGAATTACCCTGGCGAGGGCTTGGACGTCAGGCTCGACTCACAGGTCATCGCGTTGAGGCAGCTCATCCATGAGTACCCTGAAGTATATCCTCATGAGTGGTGGGATCGGGCTACTCTCTTTGGTGAACAGATGTCTGTGGAATTTGAAGCAGCCACAAAAGAATCCTTACGCTTACGGCAGCAGTCGTGGACGGAGTGGTGTGACACTGCTCTCAAGGGTTCGGCTAAACTGATGCATAAGATCACGCGACTTCAGAAGGTATGGTGCCCCACAGTGGTTCAGAAGGCTCCTGGCATTTACTCCAGCAGTCCCGAGGAGGTGCTCAACTCGGAGGTCGGGATGCTGCAGCAACAGTGGAATGCGTCGACGTCGCCCCCACGTGCCGAAGTACCTGATCGAGAGTGCTTCCCGCGGGCCACTGCTGATGAGCTTCGGAGCGCTTCTCGGTCTTTCTGCCAGTTCACGTCATCGACCTTGGACGGCTTTCACCCCCGACATATATCGCTTTTGGGGGATCCAGCTCTGGAGACCCTCAGTGTATTGTTTGAAGCAGTGGAACGACTAGGACTCTTTCCTCGTCACTTCATGTGGATGGTCTTTCCACTTATTGAGAAGCCAGCGGGAGGGCACCGTGCCATCCTCTTGTTGGCCAGCTTTGTTCGTGTATGGGAGAGGCTTCGCCGCCCCATGCTGGATCCCTTCTTTGCGGCCACGGAGAGGGCCTACTGGGCCTTTGGTTCTGGGAAGAGCGCTGAGTCATGTGTGTGGGCCCAGACGGCCCTTGGAGAGATTGCGGCGGCGGATGATCAGGTGGTCCTGGGAGTCCAGTGGGACGGCAAGAAATACTACGAATCTTTCTGTCTGGAGCTTCTGCGCGACCGTGCTCGACAATGGGGCATCCCTGGGGTGATTGTAAAAACGATGTACAATCTCTGGCGCTCTCCGCGGCTGATTAGGCTGGGCATTTCCTTTCATCCAGTTGCACTTTTTGCTCAGAGCGGCCTACCTGCAGGTGATATTTTCAACGATGCTTTCGTAAAGGTATATGCGATCGGGGCCTTCGACGCTTTCACGGCTCGCTTTCCACATCCTATTCGGCTATCTTCGTATGTCGACGACGACACGATCATGGCGACGGGTACTAAGGCTGACTTGCTCAGATTGGTTCCAGATGCAGCTGAGGATTTTTATCACACGTTTCGGGGACAACTTAGAGCCGACATATCGGAAACTAAAGCTATTACGATTGCCAGCTCACCATCCTTAGCTAAGGCGCTAGCGCATCAACTCCAGCTCCGAGGGCTCCCAGCAGGCACCATAACCCACTCGTCGGTGAATCTTGGGGTCGACTTTACGCCAGCGCAGGTTCGGATGACGAAAGGGGCCCTTCGTAAGCGTCGTGAGCGATTTCGCCAGTTTCGCCTTCGACACTCTCGGGTCCTTCGATTTCGCAAATGGTTATCTCACGGGAAACATCGAATGGCAGTAATACATCAGGCAGGCCTTAAACCAGCTCTTGCTTATGGTAGCTCTGTGCTTGGAATGTCTGACTACGAGCTACAGCGAGCTCGCGCCACACTTCTCAGTTTTCGCTCTCCATCGCATAGGGGTGGATCTTTGCTGTCGAAGATTGTGCTCCACGGCGACCCGATGGCCGACGTCAGCGTTGCACCTGCAGCTGCATGGAGTGTGGCAGTTTGGCAGGCCCTGGTTGCACCAGAGCGCGCTCTCTTCAGCATTCGAGAGCTTCATCAGATGTTCCAGGTAGTTCAGGAGAGAATGGAGCCACATCACAGATGGCGACATACGAAAGGACCGATCTCGCGGATGCTCCTCTCTCTCCAACGTGTTGGCTGGTCCGCTAAGAACTTCGCTCTCTGGGAGGATGATAAGGGGGTGGAGATCTCGCTCATGTACACGGCCCCTAACATGCTTAAAGGTTTGCTTCGTGATGCAGTTCAGCGTAAACATGAGCGTGACATGGCACGTAGTATAGATAATTTTGAGCATGCACGTGTGTGTTCTGACATTGTGCGTAGCATAGTGTGCACGTCTAAGAAGTATACGCCTAGGCAGAAGTATGCTGTAGCTAGTTGCTTTTGTAAGGCTGTGTTCACGTGTGACAGGTTAAACATAGATGACGGCCTCTGTCCACGTTGTGGTGCCCCTGATAGTGTTTTACACAGACTCTGGGTGTGCCCAAGTCCCGAGGTTGCACAGGCCCGAGGAGAGGTAGCCACCCCAGAGCTTGTGCAAGAGGCCTTGGAGGCTGGTCCGACGAACCCTTTTTGGACTCGCCTCATTTTTCCTCATCCCTCTCTCACCTTCCAGCCTCCTACCGATTGGATCTATCCTGAGCTCTTGGATGCGCAAGGCAATGTCCTGTCGGACTTCTCGTGTATCGAGGGAGCCAGCGATGTCGTCGTCGATGGGTCGTGCACGAGGCCTCCGATACGCGAGCTTGCGCGAGCTTCCTTTGCGGGAGTCTTCCTTGAGCGAGGCTCGGAGGAAGTCTTGGCGAGGTTTCATGGGCCGGTCTGGCCAAGTCTGCCGCAGACCCCTCAGGCAGCTGAACACATGGGTTTAGTTGCTATAAGTTTCTTTGTGGGGCAGCTGACGCACCAGCTCGGTGTTTTTTCGGACTGTCTGGGTCCCGTGCGGTACCATAACCAGTCGGCTGCCCTTCAGGTGTCTTCCAGGAACAAATATGCTGGGCTTCGGAGGGGTTTTTGGGAGATCCAAGGCTCGAAAAACGTCGGCCCTGCGACCCACACCCCTGCCCATCGAAGCATGGATATAATTGATGCTCTCCCTCCAGAGGAGCGTAGGATAGGACGTGCTAACTTCCATGCGGATCGTTTCGCGAAGGAGGCTCTAGCACTGCACGCGCAGGAACCTCAAGAGTCCTGGGATGACCTCTCGGCCCTGGTTGGCAAGGCCCGAGCTGTGGCCCGTGTGATGGGGACGGTTTTACCCCTGTCTCCGTTTTCCCAGTTCCCTGAACGGAGAAAGGTTCCTTGCCCTAGGAGCACTGGTGCTAACCGATGGCATGCGTGGACTGCCGTACCAGGTGCACCAGGCTCCTTCATTTGTTATGACTGTCACGCTCGCCGTACAGGTACTTGTGCTAATGCTCTTGATACGTCGGGCTGCCCAGGGAGGAGGCAGAACTTCTCTTTCCTGATGCAGCCCGCCCTCGGACACGACCTGGTCTACACACGTCTCTCGTCAGGTCCGAGCTTGGTCTTTTGCAGGCGCTGCGGTGCATACAGCACTGAGCGTCTCAGTCGTCAGCTTGAGAAGCAGTGCCGAGGCTATGTGGTATCTTCTGCCAGTAAATGTCGCCTCAATCGTATGCTCCGAGGCCTCCACCCCCAGTCCAATCGTGCCGCCCCAGGTGTTGTGCTCCACATTCTAAGTGATATGGAGCGCCAGAGGCTACTTGAGACCCAGCAGCGCCCTCAACGTGCTGTGTGGCTTCAACGTCCTCAGGGTGATCTTCCAGGCACGGGTTTAATTCCAGGACTGGAGGGGATGAGGCAGCGGATAGCAGCACGAGAGGAGGCGCGAGGTTTCCAGGAGCAAGTTTTGAGGGCCCCAGTGCAGCGGTCGCCTGCACTGGAGCCCGAGGCCCTTGGGTCCCATGACCATGCCCAGGGGTCTGATGCCCCAGAGCAGGGTCTCGATCCTGAGGAGGAGGCCGCTCGCTTCCTCCATGGATGATAAAACGTTTTGCGTTCTAGCCCGCGGGGGGGGAAAAAAAAAAAAAAAAAAAAAAAAAAAAAAAAAAAAAAACAACAAAAAAAAAAAAAAAACTCCTCCTCCTCCTCCGCCTCCTCCTCGTCATCATCATCATCATCATCATCATCATCATCATCATCTTTCCTCATCTTTCCTCATCTTTCCTCATATTCTCCCCTCGTTCTTCCTCTCTCCCCCTCTTCCTCCTCCCTCCCCTCCTCCATACCTTTCCCGGATAAGTAATTCATCCCTTCCGCACACCCAGACGTGTCAGCAGGGCGGGCCGAGCGTTTCGCTTGAGACATCTCCGCTATTGATGATTTTGAAGCTTGACATGTGCAACTGTTCAACAGATGGAGGGTGGGTCCTTCTCAAAATATGGTTCTCGTATGAGCGCCGTGCATGTTCGTCTTCAACCTTCGCAACGGCGTCACAGATAGAGGGTGGGCCGTTTTCAGAAAACGGTTCTCGCCCTAGCGCCCTGCACCTTCGCGTGTAAGATTGCGCAACAGCTTCAAGGATTGAGGACGGGCCGATTTCAGAATGCAACTCTTGCGTTGGCGCGTTGCTCAATCGTGCTTAAACGGACGCTTACAACAGCTTCAAGGATGGAGGGCGGCTCATTTTTCGAATGTAGTTCTTGCGTTAGCGCCGTGCACATTAGTTTTCAAAGTCTGCAACAAATTCAAGTATGGTGGGTGGTTCCGTTTCAAGATGCGGCTCTTTCTCCAGCAACGCGCACATTCGTTCGCTGTGCTTGTAACAGTTTCAAGGATTCGAATGGTCGAAGTCCCCCGAGTCAAAGGACTTGGAGTCACAGGATTTGTATTCCGACGCGATTTAGGAGTCAGGGCGCAACAGTCACGTTGATCTGCGGCGATGAAGTCCCAGGAACAGTGTTACGGTACGGTTGGTGATTATTTGACGGTGTCTTCAGATGGGCCATTTTCCGCAATGAAAATGCATGCTTTACAGACTTGTGAAGAGGGATCTGGGAGAGCGGGCTCGCATCGTTGATGCGTCTTGGGTTGACACTGGTTCTCCTTCTTCTTCTTCTTCTCCTCCTCCTCCTCCTCCTCCTCCTCCTCCTATCCACCTCCACCTCCTCCCCCTCATCCTCCTCCCTCCTCTTTCCTCCTCCTCCATTGTCTTTCCTCCCTTCACCTCCTTTCCTCCTCCCTCATCTCTTCCTCCTCCAGTCCCATCTGCTTACACATTGGCATAGCTCCTCCCTGTCGCAGCCCTGGACGTGTCGGTAGGGCGGGCCAGGCGTTTCGCTTGAAGCTTCAAATTCGCGACAGCATCGTGGGCGTGTTCTATATATATGTATATACAAATGTGGTACTTGCCCTAGCGTCGCGCACACGTGTTTCCAAACTTTGCAACAGTTTCACGGATGTAGGGTGGGCTGTTTTCAAAAAAGTGGTTCTTGCATTGGCGCTTTGCACACTCGTGCTTGGATTTTCACAACGGTTTCAAGGATGGAGGGCGCGCTGCTTTCGAAATGTGGCCTTCGCGTAAACAATGCGCACATCCGTGTTCGAAGTTGGCCGCATTTTCGCGGAAGGAGGGCGGGCCGTTTCCAACATGTAGGTCTCGATTTACCGCCGCGCACATTCGCTTTAATTTTCTGCAGCAGCTTCTGGATCGGGGGGCGGTCCCTTTTCAAAATGTGGTTCATGCTACAGCGCCGCCAACATGTGGCTTAACATATCGTAGCAGTTTGAATGATTTTGATGGTCAAAGTCCGAGGAAGGTTTTCTGGCACGCCTCAGGATTGTTGGGACGCCGCAGTCACGTGTATTGCGGTGTTGAAGACCCAGGAATGGCTGTCTGGTGCGATTTAGGACTGTCAGGACGCAGCAGCCACGTTGATCCGCAGGAGCGGTTTCGAAGTCCCAGGAGAAACTGTGTTTTCGCACAATGGGAGATTCTCAGACGGTTCTCTTCAAACGGGCCACTCCCCGCAATGAAAATACAGGGACTTGTGAAGAGGGAACTTGGAGAGTGGGCTCCTGGCAACATGGTTGACGCGTCTTGGGTTGATAATTACTGGTCCTCCTCCTCCTCCTCTTCCTCCTCCTCCTCCTCTTCCTCCTCCTCCTCCTGCCCCCCTGGGGGTAAGGGGGCTGCCTGGCTGCACTGGAGGTGATCGCAGTCCTCGACTTCGGGGTGCTGAACGACCTCCGGCGGGCCTTCCGGTACCACGAGCGCCAGATCGACGAGGCGTTGCGCGGCGTGAACCTGCCGCAGCCCGGCCCCGCCAGCCTGGAGGGCTGCAGCAGACCCGGCGCCTGGGTGTTCAAGGTGGTCCGCCCGGGGGGCGTGGACGTGCGCTCCGGGCCCTCGCCGAGGGCGCGGTGCCGCGGCCACGCGGAGGAGGGGGAGTACCTGCGCGCGGCCGAGCGCTGCGGCCGGTGGCTGCGCCTGGCCGCCCGAGAGGGCGCCGAGCGCGCCGACCGCGGCGCGGCGGACTGGGTGCTCCTCGAGGACGCCGGCGGGAGGGCCCAGCTGGAGCCCGTGGACGCCGCGAGCACAGGAGACCTCTCCGTGCCTGCGGACGAGGGCCAAGCGGAGATGTTCGACCGGCCCTTCGAGCCTCGCCTGAGGGGGCCAGAGGATCGAGGGCAAGCGACCTAGAAGGGGGGGGGGGGGCCACGGTTGGGGTCATGGCGCGAACCCAGCGCGAGGGGCGTCCCACCTTGGGGCCTGCCTCATACCCAGAGCTCCGACGTCGTGATTTTTTCAATACGGGGTCCCCGGAAGTCTCGACCCATTCCCCAGGACTGGTTTTTCATCCTTAGTCGACTCCGGAACCCGGCGAGGGCCGCTATAGAGGCCGAACATCGAGAAACAAATATATCCGTTTTGTTTTTTCCATACGTAGGAGGTCTGGGGGCCAGACCCCCGGCGCCACGGCTACTTTGCAGCGTCGACCCCCCGAGGTCTCGACCCACTATACCCCGGGGACCGGCGTGTCATCCACAGTCTTCCTCGACGGTCCCCGGGCACAGCAAGTGCCCCCGGAGCCCGGAGAAACTACCAGGAGGGGCAAGAAACACACAGGCGCAATTCATCGTCGTCTCCCAGGAAAATATGGGGAAATATGGGCTCCTCCTCCTCCTCCTCCTCCTCCTCCTCCTCCTCCTCCTCCTCCTCCCGAAGACGAGAACCCAGAAAATGTGGGAGAGGAGCCCTGGGATTTGTGCCTGCCTGCGTGTGTGCCCCTGGGCCCCTCTGCACCATCGAGCACCTTCCGCAGCGGGGCGCGTCCCGGCGCGAGGGGGTTTGCGTGGCTGCGCCCCCCGAGAGGAGCAGCCGGCCGCGGAGGGCGGCGACGCCGACGCAGAGGCCGAGGTCGGAGGAGGAAGCGCTGCAAAACGTACGGTCAGTGACTTCGGCTGAGCGTGTCGCTCCGCCGGCGCGCGCCCCCCGCAGCCACGCCGCCTGAGTTCACCACCCACCAACCCAGACCCCCTCGAGTTATGAAAAAATCACGACGGGAGGTTTTTCATTATTTTTGGCCTCTGGGGGCCCTTACCGGCCCTCGGGACCGTCAAAAAACGACTTAGGGCGAAAAACCGGTCCCGGGGGATGGGTCCAGACCGCTGGGGGTCGACGTCATGAAAAATTCATGACGTCGGGGGTCTGGGTTCACCACCCACCAAACCACCCCAACCCAACCCGAAGGCTCAGATTGACCCTCGATTTCCAGTGTGTGGGGGGGGGCCGGGAAGTATCGGAGAAACACATGTGGAACCCTCACCCCCCCCCCCCCAACCCGAAATTCGGGTCCTCGGGTTGGGTTGGGGTGGTCTGGTAGGTAGTCATGGATGCGCCTTCTTCCCACCTCCTGCCTCGGCGGCGGGCTCTCTTCTTTTCCTCCACCTCTGGCATGCGGGACAGATCGCAATGGCGCAGCCCCAGTTTTGCTCGTGCGCGCGAGCGGGTCGCCCCGGCCGCGCCGCGACGGAGAAGTCGTTCCGCCGGTTCTGGCCCACCACGCTACGGCGCGACACAGTACCCACGTCGCGGACCCCCTGCGTCAACGTTCCGAGTTTTCCAGAACCTCCCGGCCCATGGAGCGGAGCGACACGCCATACGCTCGATAAGCACAGCGTGTCGCAGGGACCTCGGCGACACGCTAGGCAAAAGCTCCTGTGCGCAAACTGTTGGAGCTCCGCCAATATTTCTTGGGTTGGCGCTGGTCCCCCCTCCCCTTGCGCGCGGGGCGCGCCAAGGGCGGCGCTGGAGGCGCTGGCAGGGAGGTCCAGCGCTGATCCAAGAAGTCCGCGCGCGCGGAGCCTCGAACGTTTATGTTTATGCAGTTCTTCGTTCCTCTACGAGGGTGACCGCCTGGACATGCAGGCCGTGGAGAGGGCGGAGGAGGCCGCCGCGTCGCCGCCGCCGCGCCTGGCCGCGGGCATGGAGGTGCTGGTGCGCGACCTGTGGGGCGCTGGCCTGGACGGCATGGAAGGAGCCCGCCGCGGAGCAGGCCCTGGCCCTGATCAGGGTCTGCGTTCGCTGCCTCTCAGCGAGCTTCGGAGTTCGCTGAGAGGCAGCGAGCTCGAGGTGTGTTTCTGGGGCGACGGGGGGGGGGGTCGTGCTCGCAATTATACGGTGAGAAGAGAGACCTCGACAGCCCAATTGTCGGTAAAGGCAGGCCCAGGATCCGAGCTTCTTGCGAAGGGGGGCCAGCAGGACTGCGGCTGACGCATGAGGTGCACCAGGACAATCCAAGAAAAGGACTGGGAGCCTGCACCCGGGGATCCAGGAAGAGGAGGAGGAGGAGGAGGAGGAGGAGGAGGAGGAGGAGGAGGAGGAGGAGGGGGAGGGGGAGGGGAGGAGGAGGAGGAGGAGGAGGACCTCCATGCCACTCAGAGGAGGAGGAGGAGGAGGAGGAGGAGGAGGAGGAGGAGGAGGAGGAGGAGCAGCGCTGCCCTCCCCACCAGCGACCTCCATGCCACTCAGAGGAGGGCAAGCCGAGACGACGGCAGGCAGCTGGCCATCGGGAGGCCCCTCGTCGACCACCACGGTGGGGCGCAGCTCGGACCTCCTCCTCCTCCTCCTCCTCCTCCTCCTCCTCTCCTCCTCCTCCTCCTCTCCTCCCCCCCTCCTCCTCCTTCCTCCTCCTCCTCCTCCTCCTCCTCGTCCGGGGACCGACTTCGAGCAGCTCGCCCTGCGCTTCAGCAGCGCGTCGACCACATCGAGGCGCGAGGGCCACCGCTGGGCCCCATAGGACAATCCAAGAGAAAAGGACGGGGAGCCTGCACCCGGGCCGGGCAGTGGTCCGGAGCTCCCTGGGGGCTTCCGCCCGGAGGAGGAGGAGGAGGAGGAGGAGGAGGAGGAGGAGGAGGAGGATGAGGAGGAGGAGGAGGAGGAGGAGGAGGAGGAGGAGGAGGAGGGGGAGGAGGAGGAGGAGGAGGAGGAGGAGGAGGAGGGGGAGGGAGGAGGAGGAGGAGGAGGGAGGAGGAGGAGGAGGAGGAGGACAGGAGGAGGAGGAGGGACAGGAGCAGGAGGAGGAGGAGGGAGGAGGAGGAGGAGGAGGAGGAGGAGGAGGAGGAGGAGGAGCGGGTCGACCAGAGCGAGGCGGGCCCCGAGGTTCTCCCTGGGCCCGGGGGCCTCCCGTGGCCCCCCCCCCCCCGGTGTCCGCAGGGCGGCTCGGGAGGAAGGGCTGCTCGAGGGGTCCAGGGCCCGCTCCGCTGCAGTCGGGCCCTGAAGAATGAACCCTTTTCGTTGGGGAGGTGCTCCGCGTTCCTGAAGTGTTTCGCAGCTTGCCTCAGGCTTTCCTCATGTTTTCGGCGGGAAATCGAAGCTTAACCCATGGAAGAAAAGGGACCTCGTTCCTTATTCGGGGTTCCTCAGGTCCAGGCCCCGACTGTACCTTGACATCCGCCGAGGCGTTTCCTGCAGCCCGCCGCCCCAGAAGTCCCGACCAGCTTCCCAGGGGGCAGCTTTTCGTCCCAGGTCCATGTGTGGTTGCCCCGGGGCCCGAAAATCGGGGCCCCCAGGCCGACATCGAGGGACAAGCGCAGATGGGGGAATGCACCCCGTCGGAGACCTGGGCCGGGGCCAGCCGCCTCCGCGCCGGCAGGAGTGGTGGTGGCGCCGCCCGTGCACGGGCGCTGCCAGGTGAACGTCCGCGGGCGGCCCACGTGCACTGTGCAGGACGTCGCCTTTGCATTTTTTCGGCGATAGCCCAGATTGTCCCGTGGGGGGGCGGGAGGGGGGAGGTGCCGGCCGATACAGTCGGCCTGGATGAGTAGGTCGACCCTGCCAAATCAAGGATACCCTTGTGTCCCGCGTCTCGCGATCCATGCTTCCTGCGTTCCTGTGGCAATATGTGGCCCTCGGAAGGGTCTTGTGTTCTCTCGCGTGTCCTGTCCAATCGAGTCCGACTGTAGCCTAACCTTTTCGGTGAGGGCAGCCCCACGTTTGTGGGCCCGCACCAGTACTGCTTGCCCGCCCCCTCCAGACCTGCGCAGCCGACAGAGTCGGGCTGTCCAGGGGGGGGGGAGGGCCCGATGACCCAGGCCTCCCACATGGGGTCCGACCAGACGGGGTCGGAGGATCGCGCCGCATCGCCGATGCATCAACGATGCGGCTCGATGTGGAGCCCGACGTGCTCCACGCGGACGTCGCCGCTGCACCGCCAACGCCGCCCATGCATCGGCGATGCGTCGCCGATGCATCGGCGATGCGGCGAGATCCTCCGACACCATCGACTCGGAATCTATCTAGGATCGGGGAAACGTGAGACTCCAGTACACGGGAACCCCGATTTGCAGGGCCCGGCCTGGATTTTGTCGGGCCAGTTTTCGTGGGATGTCTGAAGCGGGAGTCCACGTCAAATTTCAGATTGGGTCTCGTGATTTTCCTGACGTCCCCGTCGGGCCAACCCGAGTCCCCCGAACCCGAGCCTTGCGCTTCCCCCGACAGGAGGCCTCTAGATGCGGTCGGACCGAGGTATAAGATCTCCGTCGGCTCGGAGGGGGGCGGGGGGGGGACACCAATCGGAGGTTGAAAGACCTCCTACCCTGACACGTCGATTAAGGAATTGGCAGTTTTCGGTTCGCGAGAGGGCGTCGCGGCCGTCATTTTTGCGGGTCCAGGTCCGTCGGTTTCGGTTTATCAAAGGGAGGTTTGCTCACCGCCGAACCCATGTTTTTCGTGCTGGACAAGGGGGAACAAGGCGATTATCCGACAAAGCGCTGAATTTTTGTCACTGGTGAAAGCATTACAGTACTAAAAATTAATGCCTTGGTCGCGGATCCAGTTCGCAAAAATAACAGCGTGTAGCAACACCGGGCCGCAACATAGTGATCCAAACCAGCTACACACGCCTAAATTGCAAACATTGCCACGCACAAGCAATCGAAGAATATCCGCTGAGAGCAGGGCGTGCATCCTGGGGGAGGGCACCCTGGCAGGTTCTTCAGCCTGGGCCGGGGGAGGGCCTCGTGTCCTCGAGGGACGTACTTCTACCTTGGAGGGGGAGGAGGAGGAGGAGGAGGAGGAGGAGGAGGAGGAGGAGGAGGAGGAGGAGGAGGAGGAGGAGGAGGAGGAGG